CTCGCGAAACCAGGAGGGATGCCCAATCCAGGTGGGAAAGTGTTTGCTGTTGCGAAGAGTGGCATTCCGTTGCCATTTGTCGATTTCCCAGCATTAGCATTGGGCACTGCATTCATTCCAGGAGGTGGGCCTGGGCGGACCCCGAGAGGGTTTTTGGAGAAGCTAAGGCGAATACCGCCTTTAACGCTGTTAGACAATTGGTATCCGTACAACTCATGGAGAGCCTTGGTCGCAAAAGAGATGTCTTCAAATTCGACGAAGCACATGGGTCCGTTCTGCTTATTCCGGAAGCAGAGTCGCTTGTATCCGCGTTGTTTGGTAAACAAAGCCTTCAGCTCGTCTTCTGAGGTATCATGTGGGAGGTTTCCCACGTACAAGGTGTTGCAAGGAGGGTTCTGATCGGCTGGGTTGACGGGTGGATAATTTACCCGATGATATTGAGAAGCATGCATGTATCCAGAATTTGGTACTATTGTAGATGAAAGGCCGGGTGGCATTGTACTGGTGGGAGTCCCAATACTCGTATTCGATCGAGTGCCACCCAATTGCTGCATGGGAGTACCAACATTTGTCGACAACGAGAGGCTGGCGAAGTGAGATAGAGGGACTGGTGGGTTGGTCAACCGCCGCTGCAAAGCTACCGGATTAGAAGGTCCGTTCCGGGCATACCCAACAGGGTCACTCAACAAGTCGCCGGTATCTTCGTCAGGATCTTGTTTGATCATCATTTTGCCGGAGCCGTACGAGCGATCACTGATTGAATTTTCGATCGGCGACTGAGGGGAGAATATGGATGTGAGTTGAGAATTTCCGTCTGGCGCTGGAAGCTCATTATTCCCTGCTCTTTCGAAAGCCTGGAAGGCGCCATTGAAAAGCGACGTCTGGCGCGTTAGGGACGGCGGAGCGCTAACTTGAGACGCGGAGTTCGACAGGGCGCGGCTTGACGCATGGTCGATTGTATTGCGGCGCACAAGGGAGGCAGATGGAGCATTAAGAATTTCAACGATCATATTAGCTTCACCCGTGCTGTTCAGTTTGCCATGGAGAGCGTTCCGAACTTCCTCTGCTGCGGCTCTCGTTTCGAAACGTGCGATCGCAGAGCGACACTGGCCGTCTTCAGGATGTTCGTTCGGAACGAAAGCGTAATCGACCAAGTGTTGGGAAAATGTAAGTAGCCCGTGCAGCAACTCGTTGCTGTATGTTGGTGCTAAACGTCGCAAAAGAACAGCAACAGTGCCGCCATTAACATTTTTAGTAGGATATGCTCCACTCATGCCGTTCATATTCGGCATGCCATTTCCACCAGCATCCATTTCTGCAAGATGCAATGACGGCTGGCCTATCGGCGGAAGCATGGTATTAAAAGCTGCGGAAGCGGTCGATGATGGTTGAGATGATACAGGAGAGAATGGTTCGGGTATACTCGCGTTGTGTATGTTGGATGTGCCGTTGGGTGTGGAGACTGGGAGATGGGAAATTGCGGCAGAACTGGAGCCGTTGCGCTTCAGCGTTGGCCTATTGTACATTGCGTCCGACTGGTTCGACTGACCGTTGCTCATGGTCGATATAAAGACGCTTAAGGCAAGGAACGTGCTGGCGTAGAGAGGAAGTCGAAAGTCCCCTTTTCTCCTTTAGGACGATCCTCGCGAAGGTGTCGCGGGTCGCGTAAATTGATGGGTCTCACGGTTGATAAACAGTAGCAATACGAAGCGATCGTAAGAAGCTGTAGTATAATTCGAGAAATTTGTTTAAATCGAGTTCGAGGAGGATCGAAGGTCAGACTCGACGCGAGAAAGGAGATAGGAGGCTGGTCGGCGTAGGATTGGTGTGACGAACAGGTTAAGAACTTCTGCGCATCGCTAGAGGACGTCGAGCTGAGAAAGGTAGCTGTTTCGCAAATGTCAATACTATAACTTTGAAAATCGCAATACAAGTGATTGACAATGAGCGATAGACCGAATAAAGTGGAATTGCAGAATAATGGAGTGTGTGTGGATCCAGTAAAGATGCGTTGGGTGTACAGATAATCCAAATCAACAAAGCGATGCGATGAGGACGATAGCGTAAGATAGCTGCAATAACAAAATGGGAAGCCAAAGGAAGATGCCGCGCTCCGAACTCAACATTGAGCAGAGACCGTGACGGTATAGGAAGACGAGGATCGGGTGATGAATCCAATGGAAGGTTGTACAGGGGCTTCTTTCGCTTTTTTTGGCCCGTTTTTTCGGGGAGGGAGGTGTGTTGGTAGAAGGAACGCAAGAAAAATGGCACAAAATGAACAATAAAACGGGAAAATATGAAGAGCGATTGAGAGCTGAAACGAGCAAGAAGAGCGAAAGGAAGAAAGGAGAAGAAAGGCTATGTGCAGACAAGAGGGCGGATGCGAACAATGGGGAGAGTTGGGTCAGGTTGAAGATGAAGAAAGGAACGAGGACTACTAACAAGGGTTCCAGATTGACCCAGGGCCAGAAAAACAACTGGTTTCTGAGAGATGGATCTCCAATAGCAAGTCGAATAAATATGCGCGAGGGTGGTGATTGAAGATGGGCGACACGGTGCCGATGTTATTGGTAGAATAATAATGGCGGAATAGTGTTAAGGTGCGCCGGAAGATTTTTTCGATGGGCTTGTCTCTTATTCGGAGAGGTGACAGTCACTGTTGGAATCGCGCAAGCTTCGAGCCCAGACGAGCGAGAGCCGAGATCGAAAAGGTCGGAGAAAGGTACGACAAGTGCGCTGGGAGCAGAGACGGCAGGACAGGCTGCTGCTTGGCTGCTTCAGCTAAGACTTGCTAGTGTGATTGGAAGTGTGTGTCTGGGTGCAGTTACCAGTCTCCTGCGCCCGCTAGAGTGCAGGGTTGGCAGCACAGCGAATGTGATTGGCTGGCGCGATGGCAGGTGGCCGATCCAAGGGGGTTACGTGAGGGAGGGTACGGAAATTGGGACGGATTGGTGGGAAGAGCGTATGGGGTTGGAGGAAGAGGGAGGACGATGCAGAGAAAAGCGCGACTTGGAGATGAAGCTGGAGTTTGGAGATGGCGAGATGGCAAGATGGGGAGAGAGAAATGGAGAAATGGAGAAATGGAGAAATGAGGAGATGAGGAGATGAGGAGACGAGGAGATGTGGAGATGGAGAGATGAAGAGGTATGGTATGTGGTTGAACACAGGATGAAGATGGATGGGAGGATGAGAGGAAGAAGAGGCTCTGCGGCGAAATTGGTGGTTCTGCTCCGCTGGCAGGAATCTTTAGTGGCGATGGGTGTTACCTAGGTACACCATTAGGCTTACTCCGGGCGCGGGGGAGCCTAGAGTCTAGGCGCCTTTTAGGGGTGACGGGTGGACAGTTATGGGGAACGATAGAGGACCTGATAGCCCGATAGGAAAAACTAACGATTGCTATAGATCTCCAGAACTGCTACAGAGTAGGATCCGAATGGCTCTACTAAGTCCACTTTTGTAAAATTTGTTGCGTGGTGCAAAATGCTTAAGGTTTAAAATAAATACTTCCGGATGCCCTGGGAGTTTACCGATTATGGAACAGCGCAAGGATGGTGGCCATCATCGCAGTAACCTGGAACAATGCGCACCTTTGAGTTAAAAAGTAGTCTCCAGCCGTTCTGCACAACTTCACTGTCTCCCGACACCCAGCTATCATCCAGTGAAGATGACGTTGGGGATGCTTTCCTTGCCCATGGGAACTACATGAAATAACCGCATATATGTGCAACACCCCAGAGAAACGATTAGGGAAAAAAATTTAACACTTAAGAAGGGCCCCGCGAGATAAGATGAACCCTTCACCTGACCGTCTGAAGACATATCTCCACCGAATCTATGAGCACTTGACATACGGACGAAACCATATCTACAACGGATGGCTTCAACAAATGCATTTGAAGTTGACCAACAGCGCGTATCCAACCCCAAACTTCCTCTTTTGATAACATCTGCAGATTCATTGTGCCATTCCTTGCGTCTTCCTGCTTCTTTCCTGCCAAGACGATCCCTCCTGTCCTCCAAGGTTTTCCGGGGAAGCCCCCAGCTTAGGGGTTGGGGACCAGACGGAGCCTCTCCTCTCATTCGTGCTTTAACATGTTCGACGACTAGAAAGAGATCTCGCGGCCGCTTTACAGATCTGTACACGGCGAGGAATTTCGATCATCTCGAGTTTTATTCCTCTCAGTTCATGGTCGACCGGATAAAGAAACCCGTTGTTGGAACTTGGTGGGATCTGTTGAACCCAATGAAACTCATCCCCAGTCATTCTTTTAACTGAACCCAACCCAACGGTTGGAATGAGTATGCACCTGTCCCCTTCCAATCAAGGTTCAGCCTTCTTAGCTAATGAGGGGAAGTGGATTGTTCTGGCCGGTGCGTACATCCATGGACGAAGTTCCGACTCCTGAAACTTGGAATAATCCTGACGCTAACTGTTATATGTATGCGTTTGTGAATTTTTGTTATCAATAATTGAATGGATACACTCTATAACCCCTAAGAGCAGTCCAAACAACCGTGGAAGCCTGACTAATATGAGATGAGTTGATTTGACGAAGAAGGGGGTCTTCCATTTACGATTCCTGTCTGGCAGATGTTTGATGGGCACCAAACAGTCCGTGCCTGAGAGGAGTCATTCGCAACCGGCCCTACCCAAATAGAGTCAAAGCTTTATAGGGAAGGAAAGCCATACGCCTATGGCTGGGAAAAAGGCTTAGGAAAACGGGCTAGAATGATGTGACAAAAATTGAAACGCACCTTAGCCTGTTCTTTTCCCTCACTTATAAACCTGAGGATCAGCCAATCAGCTAGCGTCGGAGCGGCAGACGCGCAAAATGGAATTCTTGGGAGAAAAGAAAAAAATGGAAAAATTAGAAAAATGGACCTGCCAAACCAGAATCGTGGAAATAAAAGAACAAGAAAGGAGGAGATGAGAACAGGACTCGGGAAATCAACAAAATGGAGGGTTCCCTGTCATTATTTGACCACCAAATTAGGCGCGCCAATTCAGAGAATTTTATTTTCTTACCAAACCAAACCCCAGACAGGGACTCCAGTCTCCCGGTGTGGAGGGAAAGAAAAAGTTGATCATCGTATCCACCAATTGTTGATACGATCCCCTCCTAACTGCCAGTAATGTGCTACTTGGGCCGGTAAGCCCGGTGGGACGTGACCCATGTCCACATCATTTCAGCCGGGGCCCCTATTTCATCACCGACTTACAGCGCCCGCTGCTCTCTCTAAGAAAAACCGAACCCAGGACCAATGCACCGGGGTTGCCTAGGTCCGCGCCATCACCCAGGCTGGCCAATAAGATACTGGCAGCAAAATCTCGCTGTCGCGTCGTCTCAGCGGGTGCAAGCCCAACTTTCACAGCCTGTGGAGCACAAGGATGGTGATTAACCAAGAATAATCTCATTTCTCGGTCCGTGTTCCATGTTGCCAGAAGCTGCGCAGCCGCGCGTGCTGGGATAGAAGGACGTCTTGAGTGAAGGCTCTTTTTTCGTGTTTAGTTAGGAGTGCGATGATTTTGGCTGACACATGTTGTCTTGGGACCAAATAATAACTAAATCGCGGTTGTGATTTTTGGTTTCTACCGCTAATTTCTCCGCGTTGCATGCCTTGGCGTGCCACATCCCTCAGGACTCGGGAGATCCTCTTTTGTTATTGTGGAGATATAAATATCAAGGATAGAATTGGCCAAGTGATTGTTCCACGAGGACTTCTAGAATGGTATGTTTTGGTGAAAAGTTCAGTAGTGGGTGGGTGAGCTTTTGGTTGCATTTGTCAAAAGTAGTATTTCTCATGCGATGCTGATCTTTTAAACCAGAAAATGAAAATGTGGAGGTAGAATCAGATATCTCTTGTCCTCAATTGCAAATGTGTTTGTCCTCAAAGAAATGTAGAGAATGTGAATATATATCTCTTTTAAGTATAATGACTAGTGACCTAATACATCTTCACTTAAAATATGGTCAAAACTTGCTGTTGCTAACAGTGTATGTAAAATACATATTTAGTATGCACTGAGAACTCAGTGCTAAGTCAGTTGTCTTTCTATATTATTTAAAATATTAAGAAGATGTTCTAAGCCTGTAGGAGAGTATCAATAGATGGATGCTAATGCAAGTATATGTAGAATAGATGATAAAGAATGTGCCTTGTCTGATCTTATAACAAGTAGCATGGCTATGTAATAGAAGAACGTGAATTCATGTGATTGTTAAAAATCTTTTTCAAAACTTTCTACGCATAAAATCCATAAGAAGGGTAGTTTGTCTAAGCATGAGGGATTTGGAAAGATGAAGTGGAAAAATGGAACAGAAGGAGATATTAGACCCATGAGCCAGAAACAAGTGGGTATATAGAAAATGCTGTTGCTCGATTTAACGTGGTATATACAAACAGACAGCTTCCTGAATTGATATGTAGACTCTAGTAGGGAGGTTGTGTAGATATATTCATATCTTGTTCTACGCCGTACAAAAAAACTCGCATCATGGGGCCCTAGGGCTAGGAAATGTGTCTGCGATGATACTTGATTCGAAATGGGATGAACATCTCCGTCAGAGCACAGGGACGGGTGCATCCGAACGGTGAAATACCTAGGGAGCATTATTCACTTGAGATGCTCAAAGGAATAAGAGAAACGGAGAAATCTGAATCTCGATTGAACCGAGAATTTCTCGAGAGGCTTATCTCTGGTAGCAATCATCACAGCTCTTTGTGAGTTGGCGTAACTCAAGATAATTTATTGCGAGAGAATATATGGCACCTGAGGCGATCTTTCAAAATCTATTCATATTAACCGTTAAAATCGAGCGAAAATTGGTCCAAAAGTGATCTAAATTTAATATGCGTGCTTCGTTGATCGGGTAGATTTGGCGGCAATACCCTCAACTTTTGAAAATTTTTATGGGCACAGAACAATCAAGCAAGCTGGAGAAGCCGGTGACTGTCAAGCAAAAAATTAGTATCCCTGGACAGTGGCCAAGGGGCGGCCCTTGATATCTCCTTCCGAAAGAGATGTTGACACTTTTTCTTCACAGGGCGAGAAATGCTTTCAACATCCCATGCCTCGAAGTACGAGGTGGGGATGATGGGAGAATTCAACAACATTCAGCGAGAAGGAACCTCGCCGCTCACGCCGCTTCAACAAGGGCAGATTATGGTTCCACTCCCGTGTACTGGAGGTAGCATTATCTATCCGAAGCCAAAGCAAGATCCAAGGTGCCGAGTCAGAGGGCAGCTTTGCAGGGAAACCTCAGCTGAGAACAACCCATGCAGCAACAAGGTTTTAAGGTTGGAGGAGTATGCCAAGCCCACTATTCCTTATTTGCACAACGCCCCCAAAGCCCCCAAGCAAATGTCAACGACAATCGCAGAGCCGCTTCTTCGCCTCTCCTGATTTGGTCCGTGCCGATCAAACTTCTCAGAACGCCTCACGAAACGTTGTTGTATGATGTACGGAGTATTGAAAGTGGTCACAATCGTGGCCATCATGGCTACCAACACACCAGCCAGCAAGAGAGCTAGATGGCGAAAGGCAGGGCCAGGTTCATAGCTTCACAGATCACTAAGAGTGGATGGGCGTTACTCCGGAAGCGCGATCGTGGTGGAAGTTCAGATCTTTCTTCGTCCTCCTGCCCTTCGAAATGGGGTTGCATCAGGCATTGTCAATGATTATCGTATTCGACCCCCCCAGAAGTTCTGGATGCAACAACAATCGTCTATCCGTCAAGTCAATTGTGGCCCAAACTCACCATAAGCTGAGCATCACGGAAGAACCGTTTTACTTATTTAGCGTCCCCAGCTGAAAAAGGGAGATGCGCTCCCAGCAGCGCCTCATTCTTTGCAGGTTGATCAACAGTTTTCAATGAAATTTTGTTTTTCTTCTCACTCCCAACTCTAATGGACCCTGAAATCTAAATATTGGTACATTGAAGAGCGGATAGAAATGCCCCTGACAAGTGTTTTGTCCTTGGATTCCTGTCTGATCGTTACCCTGGTCTTGTTCTTTTTCGCCCCGGATTAGAGAGATAGAAAGGTTGTAACTTTGTTGACGGGCTGTGCGAAACAAAGAACAAAAGCGTGGTGATGAATCGATGGAGCCATTCTCCCAGAGACGAGATCCAATCAAGAGGAGAAACGTATTCGATCCCTGGCAGTTTCTCATGGCATCAGTCAATTAATTTTCAAGCAATCAACACCCCACTAGCGGAGATAATAATTTCGCTGGAATGGTCCCTCCATTGTTGCTCCACATGTTTGACGATGGCTACTGCGTACATCTCAAGGGTCGATTGGGGCTAGAAACCAGAGAGGACGTCAAAATACGAGTTTTGAGCCGCTCTAACTCGCGCTAATAAGCATGAAGACAGGCAACTCGCCTACTGCTTCATCTTCGTCCTTGTCGATATTTCCCCCCCTCACAGTCATTTTATTCTGTGGATGAGCCGCTTCCCCCTTGGCTGCCTGCCATGCGTCCATTCTTTTGATCAAGTAACTCTTCATAAAGCACCTACAGCCCAGTCACTCGTTTCCTTTTCGTTCTCTTGAGCTCCTCCTTTATTTCTTGTATCCCCTGGGTACACCCTTTCTTTTTGCTATTTTATTTTTGTACGTGTCTCAAGGACCAGTTGAGAAGATGACCGAGTTGACGGTTGGTTATATGTCCGGCATAATTGCCGCAGGAATTTTTATACGTACGGGTTTTTTTGACATTGACAGCTACGGATAGTTCAAGAAGCCTCGATTTTCGTTCGAATATCCCCTAGCTGACTACTTACTACCAGTTCAACGTTTCACTCCAACGGCAACTTCTCTCATATTAAGTGGCCTTTTAAGAGAGGAAAATACGGCTGCAACATGGTAGGACTTCTGCTAGCCCCTAATACCTTTCTTCTAGTAGATTCTCATCCACGCGAGTAGGACTCAGGTTGCCCGTGCTTTGCATTCGACCTATTAGCCGACCTTTGTCGGAGCCGATACTGTTACCTCTGGTCCCGTGAGCAGAGTTGTCCAGCTTGAAGCGTTGATGAGACCCTTGGTTCTTGGAGTTATCGCCATTGCAGCAATTGTCACCCCTTTAGGCCTGTATGATGCTATTGTTCCTGCTGAATCAAAAACTTTTCACCCTTTTCAGTACACCCAAGACCACTCTTCATTTGGATTTGGAACACCACCAAGGACCGACCTAGGGTTTAATCGATTTTGTGGTAATATGGGGCACACCAAATGCCCTGGCTCAGATGTCGTGATCGAAACTCATCGAAATGGTTCGCAATACTTTCCCTATGGCTACGATGCCCGAATCTCGCCAAAAATCAAGGAAATGTATCAGAGCGGCCTCAAGTCCTTGCCGCCCACTGTTTCTAGCCTTTGGGATATTGAATGGAGGTCGTATGGAATCGGAAGGGAAAATGATGTCAACAATGGTTCCAGATTCTTGGTCGGAGATTACCGACAGGCAGGTGTCCTGGCGCTGAATAATGCATATGATAACGTGGAAGGCCTGATCGTTGATACTAAAAACGGTGGAATTGGGTTTCGTAACCACACCACTCCATCGCCGCTACCTTATGGCAGCGAGTGGTCGGAGGACCTGCTCTTTGTTGAGCCTCATACAGTGTGTATCGATACTAATTTGACTATGGATTTCGAAATTAGTTTCTCTGGCACTAGCACGATTCAAAATCTAGTCCTTACTGATCGCGGTGGATTTGTGGATCTCAATACCGATTATCCTACATACGACCGATTCAACAGCCAGAGTGATCCTGATTTGCGTGGAAGGGCACACAAGGCTGCGTACCTCAACAATGCACTCACTATGATCTACCTCAACGTTTCCAATCCGAGAACCAAGAATTTGGAGCCCTTTTCCTACATGAATTCTGAAATGAACAAAGCATTCCCTCTGGAAGGAAATATAAGGGCATATCCTGATAGATTCCTCACAAACCAAAATTTCGGCAGCTACCTAAAACTTGCTTCAAGGTTGACGAACTCCACGGTTAATAGCACAGGTTCCGGCGATGATTACCCAAATCCGTTCGATATTACCAAAGCAAATTTTAGCTCCATAGGTAAGTTACTTTAGTTCACCTCTCAAACGAGTATCTATGGGGCTGACCATTTTGTAGAAACTCTGTGCCAGGGAGCCGGTGGCCTTGACTATGCAAATATTACGAATATCAGCGCAGTGTGTGGGATGGCATTTGGAGCTGCCACACGCGGCGATGGATCTCGTTCGCTAGTGTTCGAACCGGGCACCGCCTGGACTGTGCCTTTGTATAGTTGTGCGTCGGCGGCCCGTGCTGTGATAAAGACGGTCGATTTCCGATTCAACGGCACGGATGGACTGAAAAGTCTTGCAATTCGCAGTATCCGCGAAAGGACTTACGCAAAGGATGCCGACAAACCGCTTTGGGGAGTTGAGCGCTCTGAAGAAATTTTGAATGAAGTTTTACCTCTGTGGGGTTTGGTGTCGGATGAATACAAAGGGAGGGACGATATTTCGGTCATTCAAAAGGAGTCATTATGGCTCCCCGGATACGCTGGACATCTTGGTAGGTCACCGGTGGGATACTCAAACCTACCGGGTATGTATTTCCATACTAGCGGGTTCAAGACAGCTTATGATGTAAGCACGTCCCCGCCAATCGGAGTCACTGATTATTCTGGGCAAACAAACATGGCGATGTATGCAAAATGGCAGGAATTGTCCTCTAAAGCAAACACCACAGCAAGGATCATCAACTTAGTGTGGACAGACGTTGCTGCGAACGCGGTCCTAGGAACCAAGGGCTGGATTTCGCAGATGCGGGCGAGTGTTGCCAGACGTGACAATGGAGATGGCCAAGGCTCGCCGCAGCCGGTGAACAATGACCAACGCGAAGTCCCAGTGCTCGTCTTCTGGAAAGTTATCAAGTACGACCTGAAATTCGCTATTCCCGCCTTCATCGCCCTCGTTTTCACTCTCTTCATCACATCCACAACATGCCTTTTGTGCTTGTTTGGCCGTGCAAGGCCATCCAGGATGCGAAAGTATCTTTTCTACACCTCCGCGGGTCGCATAATGGCCGGCTTTGTGTATCCCAACCAAATCGACCCTCAAGCCCCAACAAAGCAGTGGAGTAAAAGTGTTGGGTTTAAGAGAATTGCCGTTAATGGTCCCGTTCCCACAGCAAGGGATCCAGTGATGACGTCTAACTTTGGAGACTCGAATACAGCGAACACGGATGCTCCCCTGCTCAAAAACGGTGGTCAACCACAACAGCCATACCAGGCGTGAGAGCGAATGTCACAATTCTGTCTTCCTCAAAGCCGAACCCTCGTTTCAATAAGGCCAAATCTCGCGGCCATAACTTGGCTTTGAATGACGATAATAGCTGAAATCGGTTTGCCTGATCTAAGCGTTTAAGCATTTCACCCAGTTTATGTGTAATCCATGCGTGTCTAACTCGTTCCCGATAGCTCTCCCTGACCACTTGAGTATGTCGTACTTCTGGGCTCTCGCTTGTTGGCCTATCTTCTCTAGGAAGTTCAATTATTTCTGGGGACGGTTTAACATATTCTGACAGTCAAACCCACCCTTTGAGTACATATCATGTTTTTTACTATATCCTACGTATTGTTTTCCCCCCTATTTCTTGTTGCTGAGTACTCATCTTGAATATGAAGCGACAGATTATGCCCGCAGTTCTGTTCGCCACCTATTTTGGAAACCGTCGTTTTGAGTAACCGTTCCTGTATCTGCTTTCCTGCGTTTACAAATTTTCTGGCTGATTAAATGATACGAGCCCTCTTTCTACACTCATATATCCTACGTGGAATAATTATTCATCTAATATACAACTCAATTCAAACCAACATTTTCTAGAAATACACATACATAAGCGATAACGGATATTAAAAAAAGAAAGAAAATGAACACAGACAACTAATTGGAGAAATCCAAACGCCGTAAAATGATGAAATCACGCTCTCGAGAAAACGTAAGGTTGGTACATGTAGTGCGTATGCAGGTGAAGAGCAGGATATCTAGTTTGATACCGGCTGTTTTATCCCGCGTGAATATCGTTGATGGCAATTGCCCTTTCCTGCCTTCTTTCTTTTGCTTGGCGGATCATACTGTTCAGGAGCGCAAAGGACTCATTCAGCCTAGCTACCACAGGCGTAGAGAGTTTCGTTGGGAACACCGGGAAGGTTCATTATTGTGTAGCTTTTTCCGCTGCATTATTTGTTCGCATTTTCCCGAGTCGAGGTTCAACGAGGCCCACCTAATTTATACATGATGTGTTAGAAATCCATACATGATCTGATGTGATCCAATATTGAATGAGAAGGTAATGAAACGCTGCAATCTCCAAATACAATCTAGCAACCAGGTCGCGAGCACTTCCTGTCTGAATCCAGACAAACACACCACCCCCAAACCCAGCCCAGTACTTTCACCTGGGAATGGGGAAGCCAATAATGCAGAGAAATCAAACTAATTGAAGCCTGCTAGAAAAACCACAACGTAGGACATACCAAACTCAGCAATCTCCATACAGGTTCGCTCGGTTGTGCACCAACACCCAACCAGTATTTCGTCCGCGACCTATCGAGCGCGATATCTTTGAAAGGCTTTGCTACCTTGGCTTCTGCTTCCGAGAGGCCAGTTGGTATCCTAGGAATAGGACTGTAAGTTCCGATAACTTCCAGCGGTTTCGAATCTCGCGCCGACCTGTGAATCCCAGCCCGCAAGGCACCCGAATGGTCAGCCAAATATATTCATATCCCAACGTGGTGTACTAGCGGATTTGAACGCAACGAATGACGCGTAACTCTTTCATCGGCGGCGACAATCCGAGCAGATATATTCCGATCTCCTGTCGCACTCTGCATATCCAGGAAGGAGAGGGGGGCGATGTGAAATCAGAGTATTATAGGAGAGCTGCGTGCTTGAGTTTGCGGCGTCGGGCTTCACATACCGTGCTTGCGCCACAACAATGTTGTAGAACGGCTGGTGGCGGTTCCCGAAACGGGATAAACGAATTTTGACGACCATTATAAAGGAGGACAATGGGTATCGAAAAACTCCGGCGATCGATTGAGATCACAATTCAACTGCGGGATTCGATGGACGGCGAAGGTTGCGGCTCTGAACATTTTGACAGATCCGGATTATCTCAGCAAGCTCAGACGCTTCTCCAGATATTCATTGCTGTTTTAACACTGGATTGATGATTATGTCATGAGCTAACCTCAAATAAGCAATAAGCTAACCCAAATAGTAAAATCAGGTCATGTGAGTGATGATATCTTGCCTCTGGCGAGGATTGCTCTGAGCACATGACTTGTATCAAAAGTAGGTTAGTGTCATGCCGGATTAACTAGTTAATAATAATGCTGCAACCCGTTCAAACCGAGCCAGAGGGTCTGAGCCCGCTGAGATAAGATCCGGAGAAACAATTGAAGCGAAATATCACGTGATATAATTACGGGTTCCCGCTGGGCGTTCATGAGGGAGAAACAATACGAAATTGGCCCAGCAGTGCAGTGGATTCTTCTAAGATAGGTGATTATTTGAGGTGTAATCATCGATGAATAGTATTAGTCTAAGGTAAGTAGGATCTTAATTTGTTATGTTTGACCATTATCCGCCTAAGATTCAAACCATTATACGGAGTATATAGTTAGTATATAATGGCTAGAAAAATCACGAATTTATAAACTAGTCGCGCATGCTCTCACCCGCAAGCTGCTGAATGGGTTGGTAGTTAGCACGCGCTAGACAGTCTCCAAAGTGAAGCAACATTGAAACAATCGGTAGGCATTGCAGCTATTGTTCAACCATTATAGTTATATAATTATATAGCAAACGGATGGGGATCTAGCGTGAAGCCCGGAGAGACCATTAACTTAGTTACATCAGCAACATTTTCCGACTTAACGACGTCATCCCAAGTTTACCTCTACAGAACAGACTCGGAGATGTTGGACATACATCGTCGCAAGCAGGCCATTGCCAATTTCTGGTCCCCCTAAAATTTATATTAGCGGCCACTAAAAAACCTCAAGACGGCAAGCTACGTGCTACTTCTCTCATCTAATAACTTACATGTACCGTGTCCGACCGCGAGCAGGTGGATTACTTACCCATTTCCAAAAGTATAGATCGCTCACAACCATGACGCTCAAAGTTCGTATAATCTTTTCTACTTCGACATGTGTCCCTCATTACAAGATACATTACATCTGATACGACCCATTAGACCATTAGCGCAAAAGATGCGGCGTCCCTTGACAAGGACCTCATGGACAAAGGGGGTTTCTCCCTCGATCAGCTCATGGAGCTGGCGGGGCTTTCTGTATCACAAGCTGGTATTGTCTTATACCTAGCTGAGAAATAACGATTTACTTTCACGTACAGTGTCTGGTTCAGGGTGGCTGACTGGGTGTATTGCTTGACGACAGTCTATCGAGTTCATCCTCCATCCACAGGCAGAAATGTCCTCGTAGCCTGTGGCCCCGGAAATAACGGTATGGGATCAGAGCTGGCCTATTTCGGAAGCCTTGTTTTACCTGTGCTGCCGTATCGTTGGTCCACAGTATTAAGCTGACTGACGATATATAACTCACGCAGGTGGTGATGGGCTTGTTGCCGCTCGTCACCTAGCTCACTATGGATATAAGCCGACTGTATATTACCCGAAACAAGGGAAAAATGAATTATACGCGGTTTGTATCCTTATCACTTGCAAGGACTATGCACAATTCCCGCTCCTTCCCTATTACCAAGTCACTCAGCCTAAACATATCCAATATCGCAAGAAACTTCTAACGAAACTACAAGAAAATAGCGCCTAAAAACCCAACTACACAACCTCTCCGTCCCCTTCACAACCGACTTCGCAGGTACCCTCCAAACCAGTGATTTCGTAATCGATGCAATTTTCGGCTTCTCGTTCCTAGGACCACTTCGCGACCCGTTCCCGAGAGTAATCTCGCTTATGGAGGAAACCAAGGTACCCATCCTGAGCGTTGACGCGCCTAGCTCATGGGATATAGAAACTGGCCCGCCGAAGGAAGGGCCTGGGGCAAAGTTTATGCCCCAAACGCTGATCAGCTTGACAGCTGCGAAGCCGTTGGCTAAATGGTTTACGGGAAGGCATTTTTTGGGAGGCAGGTTTCTGACTAAGGGTATTGTGGAGAGGTATGATTTGGATATTCCTGAGTATCCTGGGGTAGAGCAGATTGTTGAGGTGGATGTTAATAAGGAAGGGAAGTTGTGAGGGGTGCAGCGGCTTTAGGGGAAGGGGATGGTAGATTTCATACATATCTCATTGAAATTACTGATTCCTTCCTTCTAACAACATTTATTCTCATTGGTACGGCATGTTGGTGACAAACATTGAAGATGAAATAAATTTCAATATAAATGTTAGTCGACGCTAGTCTAGGAGGGTAATAGGGTAAGAAACGAGAATGGCCTTCGTTTATCCAAGCGCACTTCTGATCTCATCAACCACACTCTTGACCCTTGGTTCCCTACCAAATCCACAACTAATAACCTTCGATAGTGCCATGTTGATGTCATATATTTCTTTCGCGGCGCTTTTCACTTCTTCCCCAAGCGCTGTAACTAAAGTACCCAACGCAACAAGCACACGATATACAGCTTCAGAGTCTTTTTCTTTCATCAGAAGTTTAGTTAATCCATCGAGAAGCAAGAGGGCTTTCTCCGAGGATTCAGGACTCGAAGCCCTCCCGTCACTTGTAACGAAGACAGAGAAGTTAATATATAGGGTTGCAATGGCGATGGTTAGGTTGCGATTCGGCGTCCCCCCAGAGTTTGCAGTTACAGACCCGATTTGCGTCATGATGTCGTCAAACCTGCTAATTGCTAGAGCCCGACCAGCTTTGGTTTCGAATAAATTTGCAAAAGTCCGTACTGTTAACATCGCGTTATTCACGTTGAGAGGTGACTCGAAAACGCCGCTTGAGATGAGAGTTGAGATCAGATCACCACCAACATAGTCCGTTGAGGCTGTCACAGGGCTTGCGGCAGCGAGCAGACGGAGTAAATCAAGACCGGGAAGCCGGTTAGCAACGGGCCATGCAGTTGCTATTTTGACGATCAGTGGTATTCCGAACTCGACCTGCGGCGATTCTTTTAACGGGGATGTCTGATTCAGTTGATTGCAGAGACCTATGACAGTCTCCACTTCAGACGGACTCAGCGAAAGGTCTTTCGATCCAGAACTAACGAGTTGCTCATTCAGTTCCAAAACCTTTTTCTGGATTGCCTTGATATTTGCGGTTTTTATAGCAAGGTATGATGCTTGTGGTAAAACTTTCGGACGAGATGTTGGAATGGATGGAGCATTGTTGGCTGATCCATCACCAGGCCGATATCTCTTTTCTTCGCCCCATGGATCGGCTCCTGGAGGCGGTGGGCCTTGGCTTTGTGTCGCTGACGAACCAAGGGAAGCACCCTGTGTATTTGTGGTTATGAAATTAGCGACCTGGTCCAGATACCCCATCGGTAATTCGTTATTTTGTATAAATTTGGTCGCTGCTTCGTACGGGTTTTGCGAAAGGTTATATGGAAGTTTCAGGGGAGGCTTCCCATCCTCTATATCAACATCGAAAACGTAGTCGTAGTCCTGCCCGAGATATTCCACCTTTCTACCACTGCTGGCTGCAGAGTCAACTACAGTTCCCACAGATATCCACTGGCTCGTGGCTGTTGACCAAGTATGAGCCGTGACACTTCCATCATCCTCGCGAATCATCTGAACCTGGCCTTCTTTCGTTCCCAGCTTTTGCTTCAAGAACTCTGGACCTGGTAGTTTCTCTTTATTGATATTCCCAACTTGCTGCTGTGGGATAGACGACTCCTTGACTGAGGTTTCAAATTGGGCGATCACGGTAGGATCTGCATGGCGCTCCTGGGCTCTACTGAAGACTCGAGTAATTCTATCGCTGGCCCCGCTAACAATGTCACCGTTTTCTTGACATGCTGCAATGCTCCAGACAGATATTGCTGGATGTGTAATGGTCTGTATGCATCGATCACCACTCCATATCCTGACAGTCCGGTCCTCACCCGAGCTAACTATTTCCCCCGTCGGTAAGGTGGTCAATGAATAGATGAAACTTTCATGACCACGGAGTTCCGCAACTTGTAAGCCTTCTAGGGTCCATAATCGTATAATGCCATCATTGCTGGCTGACGCTATCTGCCCGCCCGACGGGTGGTTTGGAGGAAGTTTACAGAGGGCACGAACAACGTCGCCAGCCTTCATACTTCGCAATAGTTTTCCAGCCAGGTTATATATGCGGATCATTTGATCAGCGCATCCTAAAAAATAGTCAGTACGAACCCCTCTAATACGGCAAAATGCATTCGTTTTAAAGTGCCCGTACCGGTTACTATAGTTGTCTTGTCAAAAGCCAGCACAGCCCAGACGCTCCCTTGGTGATCTTCAAGTGTAACTTCGCATTCCCACTTCCCAACCTTCCACAATTTTGCTGAAGAATCCCAACTCCCGCTCACTACCCACTGGCCCTCCGGACAGACATCTATGGAGCATACATTGTGAGAATGACCAAGAAGCATAGCATCTGCATTTGCGTCAGCAGGTTTCCCGGGCTGCCGTGCCTCAATAATAGTATCTTGACCACCGGAGAATATCAGCCCTTCGGGATAGTCTGAGGTTGGAGGGTAGTAGGCTAAGGAGTTTATGAAAGCGGACCCGTGGGAAGATATTTTGTAGTCGTAGACCGGAGGCGGAGTGGAGGTGAGGTTCCAGACACGGACGGTCGCATCCCGCGAGGCGGACAAGACAGCTTTGGAGTTAGGAAAAGCCACAGCGCGAACCTTTAGGTACAAGGGACTATTAGTTTCCCATTTTCAGACGTCATTGATTGGGACGGGGTCCCGTAGGTATCTCGTTAGCAAGCACTTACATCATCGGTGTGGCCCTCCAAAGTGGCTGAGATCTTGAAGTCTGGCATATAGGCTATTGCCCCTAAGCGGTCCTTAGACCTTGCTACTATTCGTTTGATTGATTTTCGCTGCCACTGTTCTCTGAATTCTGATGCAATAACTGAATTTGAATTTGGAGAGTGTATTAGGTATTAGAGGACAAAAGGTGTTGCGGGTTGGGGTTGGAACAATGCTCCAGCACCGTGGTAGGGTAGGGTTAGTTAGGGTAGTCACCCCGCTGCTATTGGTGGGGAACTTGAGGAGTCAACAATGCTTACTAAGTCGCCCAACTCCATCCTGTGAACTTTTGTGCTGGATATTTTAACTGGCTAAACTGTGACTACGATAGATAGGATTTGGCTACGAACCCGGTTGCTACATAATATCTGGCAAAGATCCAGATGCCCATTGCCAGGGAGGTTTCAACTATTATAACGCATCAACCGACATACTACGGAGTACTTGCCGAGGATTAATTGCCCAGTTGGATGTAATAATCCCTCCACAGCAATGAGATTGAGTTTCATATGCTGCGGGCGGATATCCCACCAGCCAAAGATCAAGGAATTAAGCAACGAAATCGGGCCACCAGAAGCCAAGAGTCCGTGATTGTCTATCAGTTGCATGAATGGCCAAAATAGAAAGGACCAGTCATTCTGATACAACGCTAATAGTTTAAGGAAATGAGACATTCGGCCCATGGACACTGATGAGTAAAATGGATGAGATCGAGAATTGCAGAATCTTGTTCCAACATATATAATAATTCATTATGGCCGGTTTGAATCCAGACACTAATATCAGCCATGGATGGGACAGCATCTGGGGTTTCATTCATGCAGCCGGCATGCCTTGTTGGCTGTCCCTTGGAAGGGAAATAGGAGAATAGGAGAGCACCTTTCTGGCAAATTTGTGCGATCCATCTGTATCCGAGTAAGTTTGATATCGCAGATCTTGAAGGGAACAATCGGGGAAAAATCCAAGGTTGAGATATAGAAATCATGTGGCGTGGCGCCTTACCTCATTGGAGACTAGCGCCACCCACTAGTCCCAACACGGCCAAGCGGTGATGTGGGAGCGCTTCGTCCTGCTATCAGATCCTGCAATGCTTGCTGCCACAGGGTTGCCCAACCTCCGCCTGCACCATCGTTGGTAGAAGAAGACCAGCTCGGCCTCAGTAGTAGAACACCTCCCCCCCCCCCTCCCCCCAAAGACCTCCTCTTCTCTTCTATTCTATCCTTTCTTAGTTATTCTTCTTTTTCTTTATCCGCAGCTTCTCCGCTTATTAACGTCTTTCTCTTCCCTTGCCTCTCCCTCCCTCTTTTTACTCTTGGGCTCGCTAACGCTATACCCGCTACCACCCGCCATTTTTACGACTGGAACGCCATAACGAATCTGATGATTTTTCTTTCCCCCGGTTTATCATTAAAGGAAATCTCGGGGCTATAGTTTTTCATCTGTCGCAAGACGTCTCTCCATCTTTGGTCTTTCTCGAAAGATCTCATCCTAGTCTTTTTGAGGTTTTGCAAGCGGAGCAGCTTCCAACTCCTCACTGCGGAATTCTAGTCCGATCCTTTTATTGTATCTACTTTTTCCTCTTTCACCATCATTTTCTTTATCTATCTATTTCTTCTTTTACAGCTCTAAATGGCTTCTGGTAAGCATCCTTCTCACTTTGGGTGACTTCCCCGGTTGCAATTTCATGTCAACAGTCCACTGTCTTGTTGCCCATTGCTGGGCACAAGACGACCTCCCAGCCACCAATACCAGGATCTAATGGCGAAAATGACGTATAGAATCTTCCAAGGTTGTCCCTCTGACTTGCCATGGACATTCTCGGCCTGTTACCCACCTAAGCTTTTCTTCCCTGGTGGAGGACGATCAATACTACCTGATTTCAGCATGTAAAGGTATTTTCCCGTGCGGCTCCGGGGGATTATAGATCTAGTTAAACTGAGCGCTCTTTCTAGATAACAATCCGATGCTCAGGGATGGAGTAACTGGGGACTGGTCAGTTTGATTTCGGTGCGCTAGTGAGGTTGTGCGATTGCTAATGGTGGAATAGGATTGGTACATTCATGGGCCACAAAGGCGCAGTATGGCAGGCTCGCCTTTCGTCAGACGCCACAATAGCAGCAACTGCTGCTGCGGATTTCTCTGCGTTCGTTTACCTACTCTCGCAAAATTTCCGCATTTTGAACTGGGGGCTTACTTGAATCTTTACTCATAGAAAGGTTTGGGATACGCATACGGGAGAATGCTTGCACACACTTCAGCACGCACATATCGTCCGTGCCGTCGCGTTCCCGATGCAAGCTAATCCTCAAATTCTGGCAACTGGTGGAATGGAGAAGAAACTCCGCATTTTCGATCTTTCGCAAAGCGGAAAGAGCAGTACTTCGTCTCCAACGTCTCCGTATGGATCAACTGGAGTTAATGGAGTCAGTGGTGGGTCAACGTCAACGCCAATGACAAGTTTTGAAATTGGCCCAGGGGTTCATGGTGGCACCATCAAGTCAATCATCTGGAACCAGGATTACAATATCATCACCACGGCCTGTGAAGATCGAAAAATCAGATGGTGGGATCTCCGCTCGCGTCTTCCCTTTGTAGAGCATACCGTCGATGGCACGATTGGGAGCTGCGAGTTGAACGCGCTCTCCACCACGCCTAACGACCCAGGAATCTTGAGCGTCGCTGCTGGGAAGTCAGCCTATTTCTTCGACGGAACCAGTCCTGGCCGCTTGTTTAGAAAAGTGGACTTCAAGTACGAAGTTGCAAGCGTCGCTGTGAATAAACAGACTGGAAGGTATGTGACGGGATCTGTGGGAGACACCTGGGCGCGGGTATACGACTTGGAAACTAACGAGGAGCTTGGTATGTCTTTCCTTTCTGCCTATACTAGTCCACACTACCCTAAAACTATCCACTTCCAAACCAGAAGAACTGGCCCACTGACATTCATCATTTACAGAAGTTCAGAAGGGTCATCATGGACCGATATGGTCCGTCAGTTACTCTCCAGATGGAAAGTTGTATGGAACCGGCAGCGAGGACGGGACTATCAAGTTATGGAAAGCTTGCAGGGAGCCGTATGGACTGTGGAGATAGACAAGCCCTCACAGAATATGAAAAGTCGGCGCATGCGAAGCAAAAGTATGAGAGACAGATGTCGAGCTGGCCGTCTTCCCATCCCATCCCTTTGCCAATGACACAACACAGAAGAAAAGAAAAGCAATATATTTTATGTGGCTAGATATAGTTTTGCTATGAAAAGACAGAATCGATGCCAAATAATAATCACCTTGTGGACTCATCTACACACTCTGGTATGTGTATGCTTATGGGTATGTAATGATAACTCTATTCATTTTCTTTTCATTGTAGACTGGTATATCAGTGTACCATTTCTCCATTCATTCATTTGTCCTATCTATTTCTATGCATGTCCGTTCATTACTTGCCATCTGTAGTGGTACCCCGTTTCCTCACCCCCTTTTGTTCAACTTTCCTTGTACCTTGCATCCCAACGGGAGAATGACCAACATAAACAGCTAGCTACCTGGGTTGTTGAAAGCGTCCTTCAGTAGAAAAAATATATATTACAAAACTTCTACAATTCACTCAGTCTCTCAAAATTTTCATATTCCCGGGAGGGCAGCCCGTAGAGGGCTCACTCACCTCACTCTACAGTGGATATTCTTCCCGTGGCCCAGCCCGTAGAGGGCTCACTCACCTCACTCTACAGTGGATATTCTTCCCGTGGCCCCCTTAATCTTCAGGGTGAGGACTAACTACTACAACGGGTGAATTTGGGCTTAGGGGTGATTTCTGCCCCTTGGAGTGCGGGAGAAAATATATTCTCTTTCCCCTGACACACAAAGTCGAGTATCAGGTCATGTCAGCGGGTGTTTACTGGCAGGAGGTGCCAGATGTGTGATTGGTTCAGGTCGGATGAGTGCTGGTCACTCTAATTCATTCCCCTTCAAAATATGCGCCGCATTTGTCGACCTCAACCCACCACCCGATATTGGTGTTGTTTCATTAAGTGAAAGAAAGTGAAACTGAGTCAACTCGGTTCATAACGAATGACATGGTTTCGCTGTCGTTTTGGCTGCTGCCCTACTAGACAGCTGCCATGCATGTCTCAAAATGCTCTTCTGGTAGTGTCCAAGGTTCGAAGAGGTTTTTGAAAGTCAAACACGTTGAAAAATAATAATATAATATGTTTTGAAGGAAAGAAAATTATTAGACCGCAACACCTGAAGGTTTCCTCTATAAACGCGTTTACGCGGGCGCTTATTGAAACGCCACAGTACTTTTGCCGCGGATGGCCGCCTTCCGTTTGCCCTGGCGGCAAAATGTCCAACATCACCCTGAGCTGTGTACACTTTCTTCCAGCCTCCTTTCCCATTGATAGATACAGCCTCTTCGCCTCACAGCCATAAAAGATTACGCTGGAGCATCCTGTACAAACCAAACCGTTTAATCCCTGCTGTACTTTTACCTTAATTGCTACGACCTCTTCCCCTGTGCTATTGCCTCTGTTCTCTCACTTCCTCCAGTCATGGACCGAAGCTTGGATGAGATCATAGCGGAACGGCCCGTAAGTCTTTTTAACGAGCTCCTCCAAGCTGGTGTTACTTGGCCTGAAGAACCGCCGTTCCGTATAGCATGATTTGTGCAAACTCATAACTAACGTTTCTCTTCACAAAAGCCCTCAAACCGTGGGCAAGCTCGCAACCGTCCTCGACGGAGCAATGCGCCTCGAAACGGTGTCAAAAAGGTCTGTAGTTTGGTCGCTTCCAAGCCTATATAAAGGAACTGTGATTAATTGGGTTGGCTTTTAGGTCCTCCTCCTTTTCCTCTCGCACCCTAGCCGTATCGTGAAGGCAGACAAGCTCCCGGCTTGCTCATCCTCCTCCCAAGCCATCGGGTATTGGCAAACAACATCTAGATGACCTTCAGCTGACCTCCCCCCTTCTTATTGAGCAACAGCCCTTCAGAACAGAGCGCGCCAATTTAGATCTGTAGGACGCTATTTCGTGCTTTCCTCTCGTCTTGGTAGCCTATTTTTTCTAACATCGACAAAGCGATTGGGTTCATGATAAGTTCGAGGATGATAGAAACAGTGCGTTCATTCAATCATCCTATACATGGCCTTAATTCCTTAACACATCGTCTAGCTCCTTCCTACCGTGGTAGCCGAGCCCGTCGCCTCGACCGGTATTCTCCAGAACCGGAACAGTATGTTCTCCCCCACTCCCAGTGGATGAAGCCAAAATGGACAACGTTTGCTAAATCCACGCTGTAGACCCCAAACCGGTGCCAAACTCCGCGTCACCAATCTCCATTACGACTTAACAGAAGATGATCTCGAGGTAATTTAAGAAACACCCACTACAAATTGAATTCAAACCTTTGAACCAGTTCTGAATATGCGACAGGATCTTTTTACCCGCATCGGACCCATTAACGCGCTTTCTCTACGGTACGACCGAGCCGGACGTTCAGAAGGAGTTGCGTTTGTGACGTATAAGCGTTTAGTGGATGCCCAAACTGCCATCCGAGAGTTTGATGGCGCGAACGCGAAAGGGCAACCAATCACTCTCACGATGATGTCTTCCACCTCGGGGAGACCCGCTGGGCGTAATCCGTTCGACTTTGCTGAAAAGCCAAAAGGGAGCCTATTTGACCGAACTGAAAAGCCCCACACTCGAGACAGTCGCAGTCTCAGCCCAGAAGCGAGCGAAAACGTCGATGACACTTCGGGTCGTGTTGGCGGAAGGGGCCGCAGAAGCGATGTCTCAAAGCCTGCGCCGGAACACATCGATCGCTACGTCCCGGGCCAGCGATCGCCACGGCGACGTGGTGATGGTGGAAGAGGTAGAGGACGGCGGCTTGGGGAGGTGAAAGACCGTCAAGAGCGAAATGGCAGTGCGGCAGGATCTGGGCGGCGAGCAGGGAATAGGAGGGCAAAAAAGACGCAGGAAGAACTAGATCAGGAGATGGAGGATTACTGGGGTAACACTACGGCGGCCAATGGGAATGGTAACGGTGCCGCTGCTCCTGCTGCCACATCCTTTTCTGCAGCCCCTGCGTCCACCGCTCTGCATGATGATATTGACATGATTGAGTAAGCTAGCTTGCTTTCATGTGGGGGGCATTGAGGACGATCAAAAGTTGTCCAAATTGAAAAGAGTTTCGGCCAAAGAAGGTACATCGTTTCTAGGAAGGGTGGTTCATGCAAACTGCTTTTTGTCAGGCGCATTCTTGTGGAGACCTTATTATTTATTGTGTTCATTCCTTTACAAGAAAAAACATTAACTTTTCGTTTATTTTTCGGTTATGGTCATCGCCGCTCTGCTTTTCCAGACGTGGGTTATTTATTTAGGTGCTTTATTTGTATGTACAGCTGCAGAGCATAGAAATGGTTGAATATCTTGTTTGATTGGTTTCAAATGCACTCGTTCTAAAGTTACCGCGATTTTGGCTCTATGCGCCACTTGGGATGAAACAAATAGGGGGTGAAATGCACATGGCAACCCGTTTTTAAAATTCTAAGTCGCGGAACACCTAAAGGAACGAACCTTAACACAGGCTGGATGTTTCTGAGTCTTTAACTTACAGATACAACCGCAGTGAAGCTTTGAAGTGACTGGCTCATCGTGGCAGCTGTTGTGACGTGTCTTCAGTAGGGCCCCGCGTCCAATTGTAACGGGTGTATATCAGTGGGGCAGAGAGTAAAAAATAGTAGAAGAACCCTTCCATTGCCTTGTCAGATAGACGGGACTTTTTCTTTCATTCAAACTCTAACAAGAAATGACTTCTGTTGCTGCTGCTTATTGCTCCATAACTCTTCCTCTCTTCCTATAGCACCGCCAGCGTCAAGGATAAACCACCATCCCCCTCCCCGGTCGTGACGAACTGTTGTTGTTGTTGAAACAAGGTTGCCGACTTGGCTGGGAGACTGCCCCGGGAAAGAGGGCTCGGCGCTGGGACCTTTAACTACCTGGTTGCGGCGTAACCACGCGCTGGCACAGTCTGGCGCAGTCTGGCTCGCAGCCAAGGAACGCTTTGTTTACTTCGGCAGCAGCACTAAATAGTAGATACATACATTAACGTTACCACCACCGCTTATCTATCGCCCATATGCCGCTTCCACCACCACCACAGCTTATCCACCACCACCACCACAACTCCTCCCACAGTCACCATCATTACAACCACTACGCCCTTTTCCCGAACAAACCACCAAGTCCTTACCGCTGCTTTGATTCCAATTCGGCCTCTTATCACCGTCGCGCTGGAACTGGATTTGGCTTTGCAAGCCCCAACCGAGTGATGTTGTTGATGGAAGAGAAGCAATGGATTACGGTCCAACAGAAAACGTTCACAAAATGGTTGGTGCGGGCTCTGCTGCTTTAATTGCTGTTGTTCTTAACACCTTTTCCTTTTTTTTTCAGATTGGATGGGCTGGCTAACCATTTGCTTACTGTTCTTTTTCCTTTTTCCACTTGGTGCTACAGGCTTAACAACAAGTTAAAAGTTCGGAACTTAGCCATTGATGATTTAGTCAAGGACCTCTCTGATGGGGTACGTTGTTTTCTTTATCCCTTTATAATGCTCTCAAAATACATTTCTTTGTTTTTTTCTTGTTTCCCCTTGTTTTCATATCCTTTTTCATCTGTTTGTCCTTTCCCTCTTGTTCTTTTTCTGGCCGTGCGCATTGGAATAATCTTATAACTGGGTTGTCTCGTTGGATATAGGTCATCCTCATTCACATACTTGAGATTCTGGGAAATGAATCTCTCGGTCGATATGCCTCCAAACCCAAACTGCGGGTCCAGAAATTCGAGAATGCAAACAAGAGTCTCGACTACGTCAAGGGGCGGGGTATACAGATGACAAACATTGGCGCTGAGGATATAGTAGACGGAAATAGAAAGATTATTCTCGGACTGATATGGACCCTTATTCTACGATTCACGATCAGCGATATTAGCGAGGAGGGAATGACGGCGAAAGAAGGATTGTTATTGTGGTGCCAAAGAAAAACAGCCTGTTATCCGGGAGTGGAAGTGAGAGATTTTTCGGCGAGTTGGAACGATGGACTAGCCTTTTGTGCCTTGCTTGATATCCACAGGCCCGATCTTATCGATTTCGATTCTCTGGACAAGAGCGACCATAAGGGCAATATGCAGCTGGCTTTTGATATTGCGTCGAGCGATATTGGTATACCTGATTTGCTTGATGTGGAAGACGTATGCGACGTCGCGAAACCTGACGAACGATCGCTCATGACATATATCGCATATTGGTTCCATGCGTTTTCCCAGCTTGAAAGAGTAGAAAATGCAGGCCGACGAGTGGAGAAATTTGTTATGAATATGCAAGGAGCATGGGAGATGCAGAACTCATTCGAACGCAGAATGAAAGAGCTTCTCCAGGCTATTAGAGCGCAGCGAGCCGAATGGCGTGAGTCGTCGTTCGAGGGAACTTATGCAGATGCCAAGGAGCAGGCGAGTAAGTTTGGGGCATATAAGAGAAACCAGAAGAGGAAGTGGGTTGCAGAGAAATCTGATCTTGCGGCTCTACTGGGGAATATCAAAACGAAGCTTAGCACATACCGTCTGCGAGCCTATGAACCGCCTCCGGAGTTGAGGCTTGAAGTCTTGGACCAGGAATGGAGTGCCCTAACCCAAAATGAACGTGAGCGCAGCCAGCTAATAAATGAGACCATCCGTGATATTAAGAATGCCCTGCGGCGTTCGTTCGCTGACAAGGCGAACGACTTTGCATTGACCCTCAATACACTATCGCTTGCTATTTCTGGCCTCGAGGGGGATGTCGAGGACCAGCTATCGCATGTGCAACGCCTCAACGATAACCTTCCGCCTCTAGATGCCTTCCTGGAAACAATAGCTGAATTGGAAGAGCGGTGTATAGAGGCCAATATTGAGGAAAATGATTTCACCACATATACGTATGACGAACTCGCATACGAACTCGGATTGGTTAAATCGAGTGTCAGCAAAAAGCTAGCCTTCTTGGAAAATCAGACGGTAGCAAGAAACATGACCAATCTCACTCCGATCCAGCTTGAAGAATTCGAGTCTGTCTTTAGACATTTTGACCGAGACTCTTCCAATACCCTGCATGAGATCGAGTTTTCAGCTGCATTGGCAAGTTTGGGTTTAGTTTACGACGAGGAGGAGATGCACGAGGTTTTTCTGGAAACCTGTGGCCCAGCAAGAGTTGAGCGGAACGCTGGCGTCAGCTTCGAGCAGTTCATTCGATTCATGGTCAGTGTTACGGAGGACCAGAACACGGCAGAGCAGGTCTTTCAAAGTTTCAAAGAGGTGGCTGATGGGAAGGTATGTATCTTCTATTGGCCATAGTCATGTTCGGCGTCCGTGCCAAGTGTTGTACCAGAAGAAAATTTCTTCCTGTTGTGTGATTGCTAACTGGCGTATCAATTTTCAGCCGTATGTCACCGAACTGGATCTTCGGCATTCCCTCATCCCTGAGGAGCTTATCGATAACCTTCTGGAAACCATGCCCCGACATGATGGCCCGGATCTCTTGGAGGATCGCAACATACCGAAGTATGATTATATTACGTTTATGGAGAAAATGATGAATAACGGCGATGGTGACGACGAAAGTGAACTGGGTGACACTGGGAATAGTCACCTAGTGAATGGTATCTGAAAAAAGTCCGTACCTTTTCGTTTCTTTATACCTAGCTAGATACCAGAAAGGAGCCGTCGTGTTATGATTCATTGGGGCGTTTGGTTAGTTATCGGTTTGTTTTAGGAGGTATATACCTTTTTTTTCCCCTTCTCCTGTTCATGAAGTTATATACATACCTATACACTTTCCTCCTCTTCTGTTTTATCACCACTTTTTATCCTCAGACATTCTTTTTGGTTCTTTACTACTCCTCAGCCCTGCTTTCACAACCCCAGCTGCTGTTTCTCTTAGAATAGTACATTCATTTCGCTGTGCATGCTTTGTTACTTTATGTTTTACTGCTGCTCTACCTCGGTAGCCTAGAGAGGGGGATTACATGGGGGTTGGCATAGGGGATATATCCATACACATACATATAATACCAGGAGTTTGTTGATTGAAAATATTTTTATTTCATGTTTCTGATTCGATTTGCCTCCCTCCCGTTTCTTTTCTTTGTTTATTTTCGTTAAAAGGAGGGGAATGTTCCGGCCGGCGAAGCGCCTGCGTGGGGAAAGAGAATTCACAACGGTATAGTGCGATCTGTTGCCAGCGAGGTTTCTTCCACTTACCCGACCCGACCTCTTTTTTCAGTATTCTTTTCTGGAGATCCAATCGCCCTGAACTTCGTATTTCAAATATCTGAGGGGCAGCTATACACAGTATACGCAGTACACCCAGCCATTTTAAGTCTACCATGGGTGGGTGAGAGCTCACAAGTTGGTTTTGAAGAGGGATTTCTGTGGGGAGGAGTCAAAGCTGCTTTTTACGTTTCCTCCCACCCATACATGTATAAAACTCATCCCAGGTAACTCTTTATCCCCTTCGTCGAAGTAATCCGATGAGGCAATATAGCTAGCTACTTTCCCGTTTCTTTCTCCTCTCTTTCTCTGATTCTGATTCTTTTTTTTAATATTTTGTATTTTCTCTGTAACTACGGAGTACTTAACTGTACATATCAACAGCCGAACAGCAGTCACATTTGCCCGCAGGCCAGGCGGGGGCCAACTGAAACGAACTCCCTTTTTGCCATTTGGGGCGCTGAGGTTGCTGAAACAGGATAGTTAAATAATAAAAGAACTACAAGGCGGGGGAAAAGATATTATTGAGGAACTGGCAAACGTCTTTTTTTTTTTTTTTTTCACTACCGCCGCGCTGGAGAAGTTGGGACCACCAGCCAGTTCTAAGTTCTAAGGGAGGGTTCTTTTCTTTCTGGTTTTGTTTTGTTTTTCGTTTTTCGTCTCTAGCTCTAGTTAGACTCTGCTGTAACTACGTACTTGATATCAAGATGAAGTTTTTTTTTTTTTTTTTTCTGATTTGTTGTTGCTCCGTTCCGTTTCCATGGGACTGGACAGGGGTCAACCGCGAAACGTTAAACCCAATCTCGCTCTTTGTCTGGAGTCAAGATAACCTCTTTTGATGGAATGAAGGGGGGGAAATTGGTGAAGTTAGTTTTTGGTTTATGTTTATGGAGTATGTTGTATGTTTATTTTATATTTTCTTCAACGTCGTCTAGAGTGAACCAGTTTGTTGGAGGGAGGTTTTGAGGAAGTCATTCTATCGGGGAAAATACGACTTATAGTGTAAGAGCTCACTTGTTGGGATAATAAGAATGCAGTTCTACAGGCGCTACGTAGGTGTTTATGAAATCCAGATTTTTTATTTTTTTTATTTTTTTTTATTTTTTGATTATGCTGAGGAGTATTGATTCTTCGACTTTGAGAGGGTGATCCTGGCAGCGGAATGAATTATTTTATTCGACTCTCACCGGAATTTGCCGTAACTAAGGTGTTGTTATTACATATGATATATTTCTTCCTGGCTATGTGGGCTTGAACTCCAAAAAGGGGAGCCAATTGAAAAAAGGGAACCCATGTACGGAGTAGAATGCTAGGCGCGACGGTTGGACTGACTGCATAACAGCGTAGATCCTTCTGGCATGCTTCTGGAAGGGCTGTGGAAGGAAAAAGGACAATAATAATAATAATAATGCCTCCCCTGTAAGCTGTAACAGCTCAGAAGCTCTTTGTCTCTTGACGGACCGAATTTGGAGCCCCGTTGAACTGCCAAACGGCGCCTGTGTACTCCGTGTGATATGCACATTCCAAAGGATTCGTATATGTGTTTTTTCCCAGGCCATTCCCGAGAATTGTTGTGTAGCCAGACATTGCTCATACTCATACTATGCTCATGCGAGAGCGCTCTGCCCCCAAGGAGCAGAAGGAAATTAAAACTTTGAGACAAGGTTAGCATTCTTAGCAGTAAACTAGGGCGGCTCGTGGAAACTCTGGGCTGCGAGCGGTGCCAAAAGAATATTATTCGCTAAACAAGAATCAAATCAACGCCGGCTCTAGCCCTGGAGCAGGGGAGGTTAGCGCCAAAGACTCTCAAAGCGAACAAGCGACATCACGTCAAAGGATGGATCAACTTGGCTGAATAATTATTTGCATGTTGTATTTTCTTTTTCTTGATTCTTCGGAACCGAGAATGGGTCTGATAGGGATTCCAGTGGCGACATATGTATGTACATGTACAATACTTTCCCAGTTGCAGTCTGCCAATAATAAATGAACTGTATTTTTATATTTTCCCTCGGCTGCTCGGAGTGGCGGTTTATGTATGGTCCACTATCAGAACAATCTGCCGATTCTTCAGCAGAATTTGAATGGGGACGATACTTCGTTTTTGCTATCATTTCCAGGCCCTCTTGTCTCTTTGGGAGACACTTTGTGAGAGGTATTCATGGCTGGACGAGGGGACCGGCGGGAAGCTGCGTACTCTACTGATTGGCCCTGGAAAAGGGGGGATGCGCGTTTGTCAGTATGGGTGTATTAAGAATATCCACTTGTAGAAGATTCTTCCCTTTATATTAAGAGCGAAAATCCTCACCACCGCCTGCAGTCCAAGCAGACCTCATTATTATTATGGATTTCACTTCGTTGAGATGAAACTTACCCCCTATTCTTGCTGGGGGTAAGAATACCCGGATCGCGGTGGTGGTGGTGGTGCCGGGAAGAACTCTTTCTCCGGCCGGCCTGTGCCAGCCGTACAAGCGTATTTCACGTACCCACCGCTGGCTTGGCGCCTAGCAGCGCAGCGAGCTTGTGCCAGAGAGTGTGTCTCCAGTGTGTCTCCAGTGTGTCCCCAGTGGACGTTTGGGCGGCTTGGGGGCCAGTTGGGGGAGGGGCTGCGGGCGGTGTTTGGGCGTGTGTTGCAAGCGCTGGGAACAGGTGGGCGTATTATATGCGGGCTGTGACCATACCATACGACCACTGCCAACCAATCTCCCTCCTCCCCCCTTCCCTTCCCGGCTTCTTCCCCGTCCGTCTCCTTCAATCTCCTCTCCTCTTTCTCCTCCATTGTTCGTCCAGCTTCAACTTCAATCCACCTCCATCACCGCCATCACCGCCATCACCGCCATCACTATCACCCTTCCACCTCTATCCATCGCCTCTCTCCCCCTCGCCCCCCTTACATCTCCATCTCCGTTATCTTGGATTGGAGTTGTGACTTGGCTATCCTCAGCTTGAAAGCAGGCCGGCCTTTTTGGTGAAAATAAAACGCTCGTTCACTGTACTGTTCGCGATTGAGATTGGTCGCCCAAGCTACTTCACCCGACCACATATTTTCTTCGTCGATCAACCTGTTTTACCCTGGCATAAAAAAAGGCTGGAGGCATTTTTGAAGACGGTTCTGGATTAACTTAACTTGTCTTTGGTTCAATTCGTGGATAGTCAGACTACCGTGAGTAACAGGCTATCGTTTTATTTCTAAAAGCAAGCAAACCAGGTGTCGCCCGCTGTTTCGGGACGGTGGCATTCGCACCAATCAACCCCTTCACTATTCTCCTCCCTGCCCCCCCCCCCCCCCCCCCCCCAAAAAAAAAAAAAAAGAAAGAAAGAAAAACCCCAATCGCCGCGAACGCATCAAGTATGCACATTTAAGATTAACTGAACTCCCTAAACATACTGATCGACCAACCTGTGTTGTGTGTAGATTCCCATTTCGCCCAAACCCGTTTGGAGTGATCTATCGCTCTTTCTACCTCGCGAAAACTCGTCCGCAGTTACTTAGATATCACATTTGAACCGCCAAGATGGGGTGCGGAATGAGCACTGAGGATAAGGAGGGGAAGGCCAGAAACGAGGAGATTGAGAACCAGCTCAAACGAGATAAGCTGCTGCAGAAGAATGAGATCAAGATGCTTCTACTTGGTAAGCAGTCGACTCCTTTCTACGATTACTAGACCAATGCATGCAAGCTTTTGGCTTACTCCATTTTAATACATCCAGGCGCTGGCGAGTCCGGTAAATCTACCATTCTGAAGCAAATGAAACTCATCCACGAGGGTTCCTATTCGCGGGATGAGAGGGAGTCTTTCAAGGAAATCATTTTCAGCAACACCGTGCAGTCAATGCGTGTAATTCTTGAAGCTATGGAAGGTCTTGATATTCCCTTGGACGACCAGCGTGCAGAATACCATGTTCAGACCATCTTCATTCAACCAGCTCAGATTGAAGGCGACAGCTTACCTGCTGATGTTGGCAACGCCATTGACGCTTTATGGAACGATGCTGGTGTGCAAGAATGTTTCCGACGATCTCGCGAGTATCAGCTGAACGACTCAGCACGATAGTAAGTTTACCTCCATTTTTTTAATTATATTTTTTTATTTCTATTTTTATTATTTTTAGATAAAGTTCGGCTTCTTACCAAGATTTGTAGCTACTTCGACTCCATCAAACGTATTGCTGGATCCGATTATTTGCCCAGCGATCAGGACGTCCTCCGCTCCCGTGTCAAGACTACTGGTATCACCGAGACAACGTTCATTATTGGCGACCTCACTTACCGTATGTTCGACGTTGGCGGGCAACGCTCTGAACGTAAGAAGTGGATCCACTGCTTCGAAAACGTCACCACCATTCTTTTCCTTGTAGCAATCTCAGAGTACGACCAGCTTTTGTTCGAGGACGAAACCGTGAACCGTATGCAGGAGGCTCTCACACTTTTCGATTCTATTTGCAACTCGAGATGGTTTACCAAGACCTCGATCATCCTCTTCCTGAACAAGATTGATCGGTTCAAGGAGAAGTTGCCTGTCAGCCCGATGAAGAACTACTTCCCTGACTACGAAGGTTTGCTTACCCCGTGTTGTGGAGATGGACAATTGGATGTTAACACTTTCTACTAGGTGGTCCCGAGTACACTGCCGCGTGCGACTACATTCTCAATCGCTTCGTATCGCTTAACCAGGCCGAAACGAAACAAATCTATACCCATTTCACTTGCGCTACTGACACATCGCAAATCCGGTTCGTTATGATGGCAGTTAACGGTATGTGACTCCCAATTGAAATACCTGCATATATCTAGATTCGAAACTTTGCTGACCCTCCGAGTCCAGATATAATCATCCAAGACAACCTTCGCCTCTGTGGATTGATATAACGAAATCCTTTTGGATAGGTCTTTTGGCTCCCACTAATTTAGATTATTTCTGTTCATTTCATCTGTATTTGATATCACCCTCGATTTTCCCCCTTTTTTTCAGAATAATTTGCCCCACGCCCAACCACCGCCACCAAACAGAGCCGTCCAAGTTTTCCTTTACATCTATCCCTCTCCTACTTTGCCTATTACTGGGCTCACAATGGCGTTGAGACCTTTTCCTTACTCTAAAACAAAATACGGCGTATTGGACCTCTCGTCAGTACCGCAACTACGGGACATACGATCTTCCCTTTTCTTTTTTGATTACAACCCCTCGCTCCCCACCTCTTGGTCTGAGGAGATAAAATGATACGGTGCCACTCCGATCGTTGCCTCTTGCCGCCCTGGTTTCTGATGGCGCAATCTTAACAAACCCCCCGGTGCTGCAGGGCTGTCAACTGTCCACCTTCCTTTTGTTTTTTTTTCCTACTGCATGATTTCCTACTCGGCTTGCTCTTTTCTTTTCTTTTCTTTTCTTTTTTTATTTCGATATCTTATTTCCTTATTTCCCTTTCTAATTCCCTTGTTATATCCCTTGATATGTACCTGTGTGTGCGTGTGTTCTTGTTTTTTCTCCTACTTTTTTTCTTGGGGCTTTTCCCCTTAACTTTCTGTATTTCTTGTGACTTTATATGGGTTTCCCTCTTATCGAATTTCCATTTCCATTTTCTTTTATTTCTTCAAATACCATGGGGTTTCTCTCATTCTCTTTTTTTTTTACTTGAGTATGTTTTATTTGTTTCGCTATTTGCCTTGTTTTCGAACCTTAGCTCTGCCTGTATCAGCGGGCGGATTTCTACACATTAGCTTTTTGGTTTTTTATCTGACCGGGCTATTTGTCTACCAATTCCCTCTGCTTTTTTTTTTTTTTTTTTTTTATGTCTGCTACTTGTCCTCCTTTTTTCCCTACTTTTTGAAACAATTCGCAAATCAGATTTTAGGCAGGAAATGAAATGCAATACCCACTTATCGCCGTTTTTTACCTTTGGAGGTCAATCTGATATGTGTATAGGTGGGCTGGGTGTGCTAATATGGGTTTTCCAAACACCCCGGAGAACTTCTTGTCTTACTCTCCCTCCGGAGTATAATTTTCACCGCCGGGGGCCAAAGTGTTGAGGGGGTTTTTTCCTTTTTTTTTTTTACAAAAAAAAGGGTTTGTGCGGGGGCAAAAGACAAATAAATAAATGAGATGGTAGGGGGCCCCCGAAGGGTTTTAAAATCCCAAAAAAAAGATAATTTTCCAAGAAAAAAAACTGGGGGGGGGAAAAACCTGGGTTTTTTGCGGGGGGGGGGGAAAAAGGCCCCGAAGGGTTTTTTTTTTTTTTACCCGGGGGGGGGGGGGGGTAATGGGTGAGTTGGGGTACTTTATGGATCACGGGCCACGGGCCACACCAACGAACGAATAAAGTCTTTTTGCGCTGGCATGCTGCATACATGTGGTATGTATGTGGTAGTTATATAAGACGATATCTCCAGGGCTGTCTAGACGAGTAGTAGTCGTAACGAAACAAAACTAATAAAGAATAATTGTTCATAGGGCTTCCATAGGAGATAGAGTAAAGTCCCATCCATCCCATAACCCCCCCCCCGCATGAAGTAATCTACACCAGTGCACCACCCACTTCCATAAACCAACTCCCATAAACCAACCAACCCGGCCCCTCGTTCTTCAAAACCTCAACTTCGGCCCTACAAACACAATCAACACCGCCACAACCCACAGCCCAAATATCCACACATACATCAACGCACGCCCCCACCACCCCCTGCCCTCCGCCATGCGCCTCAGCGCCCCCAACCGCTTCCCCGCCGCCTCCATCCCCGTCGTGCTCCGGTCCAAACCCTCCGCCGCCCGCTCGATGATTGACTTTTCGGACTCGAGGCTCGTGTGTAGGTTCTGCGTGGAGGTTTTTAGTTGGGTGGCTAGCGCGAGGAGGGAGGTGGTTAGGGTGTCTTGTTCGGCTTCGTTTTGGGAGAGGGCGGTTTGTGCGGAGGGGGTGGATGAGGTGGTGGGGGTTGGGCGGTTGGGGAATAGGGGTCTAATAGTGGTGGTGGTGGCGGTGGGGAGGGATGTGCCTGTTGTTGTGGCCGTTGGGGTGGTGGCTGATGATGATGATGGATAACGGTGGTGATGGGGGTGTCTGCTGCGGAAGGTGTTTGATGGTGATGGCTCTCGTGGTTGTGTTGGAGATGGTGATGGAGGTTTATCTACAACTTGTTCATCGTTTCTTCGTTCTTGGGTGGTCTCCTCTGCTTCGCTTTCTTCTCCTTTTCTCTCATCTTCTACTTCTTCATGTCTTGTTGATGCTTGGTCTGCTCCTCTGGTTGGCGGTGGGGATGTTGTATCTGGGGTACTGTCACTTGGTGTTGGTAGCAAATCATCCTCGTTGTCCGACGAGAAGGTCTGGGTATCTGGATCCGTTTCGGCTGCAGCGGCTGCAATTTCGTCTAGATGGGTTTTAAGAGTCTTGATTTGCTGCCGCTTCTGGGCAAGATCAGTCTGGAGAGCATGTTTGCGCGATTGGATTTTGATGTTCGGGAGGGTGAGTTCGAGTTTCAGGATTAGGGTTCGCGCATATTCGATGTTCTTTCAGAAGCTGTCAGTGGATAGCCATGTTCATATAGGTAGGATTTGCTTTGTATGCTCACAGCTCCAACTCTAGCTCGGTGATAGGGAGATCGACGTAGCAGTTTGAGATCTGCGGAAGGAGATAGCAGGTTGTTCTCGAGGCGGGCAAGGAGATGGGTGAGGTTGATGGATGTAACGTCGGAGGAAGAATAGGAGTCAGACAACTTCCGCACCATTGTTGAAACAGCGACAAATCGAAGACGGTGTCGAGAGTTGTAGTTAGTTGCCAGACTTCAATATATTCGTATACAAAATAGCGACGTCAGAGCCTGGGTTTGAACGGTTAGTCAGCGCTTAGATAAGCCGAGCCGCGAGGGTGACTGAAATTGCTTGAAACGTCGTGGGCGAACAGGCAAAGCGACGGCAACACTGCTCAGAAAGCGAATATCTCACACGATGGTTGCCAGCGTGAATGAATATCTTTGTATACAACGATTGTTGACCTTGCTTACCCATGCGCCTCGACGTCCGCCGTAAGAAGTGTATCCCACACGCTTCCCAGCATGAGGAGACAATTCTTTTAGCATGCTAGGCTTTACCCCTGCATGTTATATTCTGCTCGTTATTTCTATTTGTCTTTCTTCCTCCTTCTATATGGGTTGGACAGAATGAAATTATAACTCCTGCATGCTCTTCTTTCTCATACTTACTTTATTGACAATCGTTCAGAGTATCGCAACCTTTTATCCCCTGCTTCAAAAATTCTGTTCAGTTTCCTTTTGCCGTCATTTGATATCCACGCCTTTTTATCTCCTGATTGCAACACCATTCGTTTCTTGCGGAGGGTGGCTCGTTTACTCCTCCAATTCATTTTACTTGTTGACATAAGTGGAATGGTTCGGACCCTTCACGACCAGTAAAAGCCTGGTGGTGATCGAGCTCTTTTGCCCCAGTGTCCTACATTACTCTAATTCAACCCCACCATGCCCTTGCTCAGGCAGTAGGTCGTTGGGTCGCGGAAATGGTTCAAGAATTTCTCCTCCAAGCTATCCTATATCGTCAGATGCTATCGGGATGTCACGGCTATGTCGAATGGCTAACCAGCCGCACGCAAGTTCTTGTGGTGATTCATACAAAAAGTGGTGCTCACACCTACATACCCAGACTGCTTCAACTCAGCTAATATACGGAATGTGCTGCTCCTATTTCCTATGAGGCCTTGCCCTGTTCCTGACGATGCGGACCCTGGAGATCAGAACCGGAGTTTCTGCATGCCCTAGCACTGCAGGAATAGAGATGGTGACAGAAGGTGAAGATAAATTGTTCATTTTTTAAGAGATTTTCAAGAGATTTTAACAATCATTGTTTTTAATTTCAAGTTCGCCATCTCAGTTTTGGAGGCGCCGTGAAAGACATTATTTGTTTCCGTCGACTATGGTCACGGTAAGGAACGTCATTAAAAAGCAAGAACATCTCGTAAGGAAAATATCTAGAAAATGGCCCGCGGCAAAATCCCTCCCAATGGATATCAAGAAAAATAAGAGATGATGGAAATTATACAACTTGGGTGAACTTCTCCTATTCTTAATTACACTCGAGGATTCTCCGTCTCCAGGCCTGACGCTTATCAGGTCCCGCCCTGGGGTAAAACTGAACCGCCTCACTTTGAACCTGTGGGAAATCGACAGGCTGTTTATGCCTCACCGGAGAACCCAAGGGATGCGGATGCGGATGTGGATGTGGATGTGGATGTGCTTTGCTCATATTGTCAGCGAGACAAGCGGTTTCCTCAGGTTGCCAGTGAGGTGTCGGTGGTAGCATCTGAAGAGGGCCTGGCGAATCCCCAGAGTTTCGCCTTGGTAGCTCGGGTGGAATTGGGGATTGTTGAGCTAGAAGCATCGGCTGATGATTGGGAAGTTGATGCCAGTGCTGGGCTTGTGCGTCAAGAAGTGTTGCTGATCGGGTTGCGTTTTCTTCAGGAGACTTCATTTTAGATGGATCACCTGAAATACATACGTTGGACTCAGGTTGTTGAGCTTGACGCCCAGGTAACGTCTTTCTGGTGGCACATTGTGCGATGGAGTTTGCATTCTCCTCGTCGGTGGTGATGGGCTTCTCGGAAAATTTTGGCGCAAAAACTTTATGTTTTGTGTTACCGGAGGGAGGAAATCGTGATTTCTTACGGCGTTTAATAGACGCGATGGATATTAGGACGAAAACTGGTATAAGGATGTATAAATATGATGGGAGGGTAGGAAGCGCTTGGGGGCGCTGCGTTTCATTTGTCGGGGCCATGGATATTGAGATTTTAAAACAAAATTAAAAGACGACTAAAAGAAAAGAAAATAAATTGATTCCTTTCAATTGAGATACAATGGTTCGATTTTAATTGCGAATGATGATTATTTCATCCTGTCCCTGCCATGGACCTGACCGATGATGCGTTATGGAAAAAGGGGCGGAGCCTGCGCAGGGTTGACGAACGTTCCAAACACAACAACACCTGCGAAGCTGACCCGAAACAACGAAAGACAAACGGCGATGAATGGCAAGGGGTGAGGGTGTCAGGGGTTCTTATTATACCTACATTTCAATGAAACTGAATAAAACTTATCCAATCCTCCGTAAGCAGTAGAAGTTCGCCGCCGCCGTCTGCAATCCCACATCCACTTCAGCCAACCAACACAGCGCCGACCAGCGTCTGGCTTTCATGGCAAGCTGCTGTTTGCCCCAGGTATATGCTAAAAGCAGAAAAAGAACAGCTATCTAGCTAATCTCAAAAAGCTGCACCGTCTTATCCCCCAATTTCCCAAACTGGCGGGTTGACGTACTTGGCGGAGGGGTAACTAACTGCAACGTGGAGCTGATTCCCACCCACCTGCATCGCCGAAGGTGGATGCTAGAACAACTTCGAGGAAAGCTTCATGCTGGAGATGGGCTATCTTGGGTTAAGCTTTGATCTAACTGCTCCGATCTGCTCTACGCAGTACGTATTGGAGGGTCAGCTCAGTCCAACCAACGCCATCAGCTCCTCGTCTACAAGAAACTGGCAATTGCTTCATCCTGCCAATAATGGATGGCTCATCAGACAATCTACCAACATAGCTGTTTCCACATCATTATTAGGCCAGGGCGGGCTAAAGCACGTTCATGAGCTCGTAATCACCAGCAGTGCGGGAGGAGCAGGATGACCAACGTCTACAGAAGAAATGGCCATCAATGCACTTTTGTCAGAGGCGAATACAAAGCAGGATTTTCTCCCGTGCCCTTTTTCGAAGCCGCCAAATCTTACTGACGCAAGGGAAGCAAGCAAAAACTTTTAATTCCCACTGTGGCAATGTAAGAACAAACACGTCAAGAGACGAGAATTTTGCTAACAAGCCTGCAAGCAGTTATCGAAAATCCAGGAAATCCCAAAATCTGTTAGTGACAGGATGGCCATGCGGCCCATTCCATAGCTTAAAATAACACTAGCGGCCAAGTCGCAGGTAGTTTTTCAGCTCAGCCAGGATTCCTCCGGGTGATCCCAAAGGCTGAGACTGGAAGGTTGTCTTCGCGCTAGGCCAAATAGCCTACCCTAGCCCTCGCATCCCTGGTCTGGATCAGACTGGATGTTCTGCTGTCGGTTGATGGCCCAGGATGCGCGAACTCCACATCAAGAGTTCATGCCCCCCGCCTCAAAATCACTCGTTGGATCGATCGACCAATCTCCATGGATGGAGTTTTATATTTACCACGTTTGCTGCCTGCAAGTTGAGTCTCTAGCCACAACCATATGTGAGAACGCGTGATTGGGAAGGACTAGCAGGATTTTCGCCCACAAGAGCCGCAAAAGTGCGCACAGTTTCAGCTGAGTGCCTGCTCATGACTGGCATAAGCAGATACCCTTTGCAGCCTGTGACCAGTCAAAGGGGTTTCTTGAAAAAAGTACCAGACCAGAAAGCAAAGATGTGGAAGTCGTTCGTTCCATCCGCAGCTAGTTTCGGCTCTGCTCATTATTCTTATTACCGAACCCAACATCGCCGTTCTCTGACACGATGAACCCGAGAATGTGAAATTGCTTCGCTGGTCGCCGTTGTTGCCTTCGCCAATTTGACAAATTGAGAGCAACTGCTTTTTACAACTCACAGAATTCTTTATTTTGAACCAATGTACGGGGTACGGAGTACACCTACTGATAAACTTTTCCGAATGGTCGATCTTAGAGACGCGTGAAAACCCTAACCATCGCCATCACAGCCATCGACCGAGTTTTCGGGGTCGAACCTGGTAATCCAGCCCTCTGTTGGCACAATTAGGCGTTCGGAGTTGTCGTTCCATTCCCATATCAAAAATTTCGTCCTTTGTTTACATCTCTATATTTAGCGCATACTCCGTACTCCGGCACAATCTGTAAGAGATATTCGGTGAGCCTACGAACGGTCACATAACCCAAATTAAATGACTTCACTAAGGTACGATGGAAGCTGACCGGCTTGCGCATTTTTCACATGAGGAGCACAGCTTCGCCGTCAGCTGTAGTTCCGGTCAAATTTCACGTCTCAAACCGGTTGACTTGCGTCTTAAGATGAAGATCGAAATATACTTCCAAACATATTCTAATAGAAGTGCGAGCCTTCGTTGAACTTGAGCTTGATTATTATTGTCAATAACACAGCAACAGCAACCATGACTTCATATATGGCTGTATATATTCGTTAGTTATTGTACTATTGCTGTCTTTATATTGTGGTGGAATTCAGCAGCTTAGAAGTGGAGAAAAATGCCGGCTTTTTCTTTGCTATGCGATCTTCAAGGCAGACGCTACTAGCACGCAGCCCCAGCGCAGGTGACGATGCCTCTGCCCTCAGTTATCTCCGTGAATATGAAGATGATGGCGCATAAACCTTTCGCCTATGACTAATGTTAGGACATATTTGGGAGCCAAGTAATCATTGCATTGCCATCCAATGAGCTTTTGAAAGAGGATCAAAGTGACGTTTGCAGGTCCTCCTACCAGGTCGATAGTTTCCAGATCCCAAATCAGACTGTAGGGGATTGGAAATAGCAGAGAATTCGCCCTCCTTCAACTGCCCTTACATTCCAGGAGTGTACAAGTGACACACCCAGATGTCACGGAAGACGAAACCATGGCGAACAATCCAATAAATCGATTGTCTTCCAGCGCCTGACTGAGACCTCAATCCGTTCGCTACCTTAGATGTAAAAGTGTCGCGTCACTTTGCCACGCCCCCGAATCGCTCCCTGTTGATTTGGCCACGTTTATTTTGACGGACTGTAGCTACATGTTTGCCATGCAATATCTAAAGTCTTTCACACACACTAGCCTGGCCATTTTGGGAGAGGTGCGCCATCCGGACGGACATATCTACAGATAGCCTCGATTCGTCCGATACCTGTAGGAACAAAGTTAGAGACAATTATACCGCAAATAGCAGGAGTATATCAATGTTAATCACCCACTTGTGCTCTCCTTGAGTAAACTCTCCATCTCACTCCTGGCTGAAGTTAGCAGAACTGGCAAATTTGTGGGAGAGAGGGTACAAACAAAGATGGCATGCATCCTAGACTAGCACACCCAGTTTGCCGTTTCTTTTTTGCGATCCGGTATAGACGATTTAGTATTTCGATGTTGTGTGAGCATGCTTATTCCGTTGCTGATGCAATGCTTCTCAATTCCCTTTCTTTGCCTTCACCTGGCGATGGCGAGCGCTGATGCTAGAACCCCTGCTCATGTCAACCGCCACGCTTTTACACATTACTTGCACTTAAGGCGACGGAGCGGCGATTATGATGGAGAGGTTTTTCATCGCGAGTTGGGGGCCGCGTGAGTGGAGACTAAGGTGGGAGTTTTTAAAAATTTATTGGGCGTAGGAAGCATGCAACTCGGGTTTCTTCAAGAACGAGAATTTATTTTCACTGGCTGTCAGCCCAACCTCGCCGATGCAAGGAACGAATGAGCAAAAAGGGCTTGACGTCAACGACGCCACAGCCATCATGGCAGGCAACATGTTTTCCTTATGTCCCACGAAAGATGGAATTTTTAGTGAATTGGTAGATTAGATAGGCTGGTCAGTGATATTCGGGATTTGTGTCTATGATAAATGACACGAACTGTCCAGAATTCTATCCAAATGGTTGAAGTTTCTCTGTCTCTGGTGCTTTGCATACTTACTTTACCTAGCTCAACGAACTCACACCTGCCCCCCCCAACCAAAAATCCGAGATATCCAACTGGATATTTTCCCCTTTCCCCCTTTATGAATCACCATATTACTGGACTTTCGCGCAATCGAATGTTTAACACAGAAATGAATGATGTCGGCAGGAGGCGATATACGGATTTGACACATCACCACACTGACCCCTAGAACGACGTAATTACTCTTCTAAATGGATAGTTGTGTAAAAGGAGAGGAACGAATAAAACGTGGAGGAAACAGAAGGCCCAAAATTGAGTAGATTCTTTTCGCCTATTTTCAGTCAATCAGCTCTTTAGGGTCTTGTGATGATACGAACACGCAGAAGAAACATCATGCACGTTCTACTCTCCGGAGGTATCGCCATCATTTGTAGTTCCCATTTTGCTGTTCACCTCCATGAACTGATGGCCTTTTCCAGAGCTTGGAAATCACTGGGTAACGGTTCATTTAATCGATTGGATGTGGATGCTGGGCCGTCGAGAGAGTGGGTTTTTTGAGAGAGTGATAGAGTTTGGTAGTGGGATCATTCAATCCACCCCGTCGACCTATCTGTACAGACTATCCAAATCAATAAAAATAGAAGACCGAAGGTCCTCGATATGTGGCGACAGGGGCGGCCGGGCCGATAGGGACGATGGGGGATGGAGAAAAAGCAAAAATAAAATAAAATAAATAAAGCAATGGAGAACTAAAGAATAGAAAGGGGCAAACCACAAATAGGCGATGGATACGCGAGTGGCACTTCAAACAAGAACAGAGACACCTGCTCCGTATTCTTCATGAGAACGAGCCATCCCTCCAATCAGCCTCGATCATAAAAGAAACTGCATCACTGCGCAGGGCGATGCCCAAGATTTAACCAAAATGACAAGAATGATAGGACTTGTGGGAACTAAGGCAACTAGAGCTCAGCTCTAACATCCACAATCTTTGCCCTCACCAAGTTGAAATTCCACTATCCTAGTCAGGAAATATCACTCAATCCTCTCAAATGGCAGCTCATTCGATGTCTCAAGATGCGGAACACATATATCCTATGAACATCGACAAAGCCGTTCATCTCGTTTTCGACGACCTGGCTCAAAGGATCTAGAATCCAGGGTCGCCACAATAGTTTGCGCCGCTAACACAATAACCGTGAAGAAGACGGATGCAGCGTACGCTTGAAATAGCAGCTACATGATCGCCGCCGGAAACTTCGGACTGCAATGAGCGCCGCTGGGGAAATTTTGCTGGCAACAGAGAGGAGATTCTGTATTCCTCGAGTGGTATGCGTGTTGCTCGTTCCAACGGAAATAAATATTCAGATCCCACACGCGGGCGCGGAAGCACGCTCTGCTGATGACATTGCAAATGCCCGCCGGGGCTTCAACAGACCTAGCCCCCCCTCGAATGAGATACCGTATACTGTAGTCCTTCCTGCTCATCGAAAATGCCAGGTCATTCAAAAAATTTATCGATGGTCATAAAGGCTGTAGCTGGATGTACCAAAAGAGCGAGATTCAAGTGTATGCGTTGCAGACAGTGGTATCTTGGTGCCTATCCCTCGAATCCTCCCTGCCCGGGGGTCTGGTCGAATGTGAAGAAGGTTTACTCGACCGCAAAGTCACAACATTTGGGTCCGTCGGGCTAACCATTGAGTTAACCAGTTCAGGAACATGCTTTTCGTTGCGGTCCGTGGTACGGAGTACATCCTACCAAGGTTAGATCAGAGAAGACAAACACCAGGCCACAGTATTTGCGTTGGAAGAAAGGGTTTATTTGACGCTGTTGCACTGGCGGAGGAAGCAAGAATATAGGCGTTGTATATGATATTGCGATGATTGGATGCCAGCTTGTTTCTTCTTCTTCAGTGTTCGATGAATACTCAAGTCCTTCGATTAGTGATTCTCTCGATCTTGCACCCCAGATATCCTGTTGAACCTGACTTCAACCTTCGGTTGCCAGGGTGGAGAACGATTATCCTAGGCCTTTGGAGGCTCAGGGTAGGAAGTCTGGGGGACGGCACTGGATAACAAAATGCCATCTAATATTCCATCGTGCGACGGAATGGGGCAATGTTCCGCTGCGAGAATCAAGAGATAGATTTGGAGCAATTCTTGCCAGGTTGTTTCATAACACTCCAGCCAGCCTCTTTTTATATCACATGATATCCCTTTGAATGGATGGATATCAACGAACGGCAAGGCCTGCTTGGCTGTTCACGATATGAGCCTGACTCTGTAGTTTATTTGTTTTTCAAGCTAATTTTGCTGATATTCAGCGGTCATGTTTGAGCTATATCCAGCTACCATAGCGTTTTCATATATTTGCGTTTCGCCAACTTCATATACATTATGGCACTCTAGACATATTAAATTACTTCACTTTAACCAACAACCTATTATAGCCTTTAACGTTACCAATAGAATTGTTCAAACTAACAAAGACTCCACTGAAATGAACCTCGTAAGGTTTTCTAAGAACAATGACTATAACTTTGCGCTCTCTTGGCGGATTTCCTGTTGTGCTTGATCCCGAAGTACTCTTCTTAGGATCTTTCCGGACGGATTTTTCGGTATATGGTTGGTGAACACAACTCCTCCGGTGATCCTCTTTGTGGGCGACACTCTCTGTTTGACAAAGCCGGTGATATCCTCAGTAGTAGCGGTTTGCCCTGGTTTGAGGGTGACGTAGGCACGGGGGTACTCTTCGTTGTTTCTTTATCGAAGGATACTCATTAGCTGGTACTGTACATTCACGCATACTGAACCTGGAAGCTAAAAGAACCTACTTTGTTACTCCTATCACGGCGGCATCCGCGATCGCGGGATGTTCAAGAAGGAGCCCTTCTAGCTCTGCCGGCGCAACCTGGTTGCCTTTCACCTTGATAAGTTCCTAAGCATCATGTTAGAGCATGATTCCTGCGATAGACAATTTTGACAGCGGTTCACATACTTTCATTCGATCAACGATATAGAACTTTCCTGTGTCATCCACGTATCCGATGTCACCTGTTTTCAACCACCTGTCTTCTGTTAATGTCTCCTTGGTGGCCTCGGGTTTGTTCCAGTAGCCCTTCATTACATTAGGGCCTCTGACCCAGATTTCGCCTCGCTGGTTCCGCGCAAGCTCTGTCACTCCGTCGTCGGCCATAATCTTTGCTTCGCAATTCGCATTTAATTCACCAACAGATGCGCTAGTTCCCAGATCGTTGGGGTCCCATCCTAGCATTGACAACGTAGTCCTGTCGAAAAAAGGAAAAAGAAAAAGAAAAAGCACGGGCACATTAGCTAGGTTCCAAAAAAAATTAAAGAATAAGCGCGGACAGGGGCTAGCCATACTCCGTCATGCCCCATCCCTGTCTGACATACAGCTTCCCTGCTGGAAACAAAGCTTCGACTTCCTCTGAGATTTCTCTGGATAACGGGGCCGCTCCGCTTGAGACAGCCAAGACGCTGCTCAGGTCATATTTCTTGACCAGTGGATGCTTCGCAAGGGCGACAGCGATCGGCGGTACGACTGTCAGACTCGTAATCCGGAGCTTCTGTACCGCTTCCAACATCTGAACGAAGTCAAACCTCGCCATGATGTAAACGGGTATTCCTCGCGACAGTGACGATGCGATGAATATGTTTTGCGCCATGGCATGGTACATGGGAAGAAAACATAGCCAACGGGCAGATCTATCCCTCTCTTCCCAATCGCTCCGCAAGTACGCTGAATAGTCAAATTGGAGCAGATTTGCGACGTAATTCCTATGCGTTACCTGTACTCCCTTCGGGGCCCCAGAAGTCCCAGAGCTGTAATTGAGGGCAAGGGTTCGATCCACTTCTTCGGGTGTTAATAGCGTGTCCCAAGAGAAGCTGCTTCCCTCCACCGGTGAGACGATGAGGTCTCCCCAATATCGACAGCCCTTGCGCCCTTCTCCCTTCCCATCAAACAACGCGCTATCGAACACGAATATCCTGTTTTTGCCCATGCCAATCAATTCGGCTGCAGCAATCCCCGTGTCTAAACTCCCATCTGCACATAGCATATATGTCGCCCCGGAATCCTTCAACTGATACGCCAATTCTCTGGGTGTATAAGTTGGGTTTGCTCCCGTGAAGATCCCACCTGCCATGACGATGCCCATGAAGGCCACCGGGTAAAATAAATCATTGCTGGAGAATAGGAGTACACGATCTCCTGTCTTCAGGCCCGCCTTTTGAAGCCCAGCAGCGAAGCGCTGGCACCACAGACGGTACTCATGGACGGTAAAAAAGTGAGTATCTGGCCGGGCAGCATCCGAAAAACACCTCTTCGTCTTGGATAGAGGATACGTGGGGGATTTGAATACCACCGTCAGCAACGATGTGTTTGGGATTTCAATGGACCAGCGGGACTTCATCACCATGATGCTGGATAAATAACAAAATTGAAGTTATAACTTGGTATAGGAAAAAGATTGCAATAGAGAGGATTGCTGCAGGAATCAGAAAGATCTAGTCATAGAAGACGTACTTTCTGGATTGGCTTTGAACGAGTTATGCTACTCTTATAAGCTGAGTAGACTCTGGATTCTTCGCAGCTGTCATCCGTACAATGGTCCTAAGCCTGCTTGCTTGGGAAATATTCAGCGGATCCATCGCAACCGGCTAACTACCGGATCAGGGTTGGACTGAGTATAGGGAGCTTTCAATGCCGAGGTCAATGATGAGATATATGGGAAATTTGCCTAGATACCCCCACTCCCGCTAAAAAATGTCGGAGGAGGTGGTTGGTTGTGTAATTATATCCATGGATCTTGTCTTGTCGGCCGGATGCCCTATTAGGCCAATATACGGATGGATTAGGGCTTGTGTAGGACCTCCAACGCCCCCGTGCTATGTTATGTAAGTTACTGTACATAGCAACATCAGCACTAGTGAGCTGACCGAGGTCCTTACTTGGCACAAAATGGGTCAGTTGAATCTCCTCTACGGAGTATATACTCCGGAACATCTTATAATACACACTATAAAAATGAATAAATAAATATATATAGAAAGATATTTATATTATTTTTAATATATGATATGATATGGGCGACCGAGAAAACAAAGGATACGTTACGTAAGCTTCCAAGCTCTAGTTATAGGATTCAGTGTTAAAGCTAGTTGATTGCAAGGATTGCAAGACCGGGGCTGAAAAAATGCTATTCTTAAATTGCCAACATTTATACCTGGACGAGCAATTTGAAGTGCTTATACTGATGGAGTTATGTAGCGTCAAACTTGTCCCGCGGACGTACCAGGAAGACGAGTCTTACCGTTGCATTGGAGGTTCCCGGCCCTCTCGCTGAACGCCATTATTGTTCGTTTGGGCCACAACAAATGGCACGTCAAAGTATTCTCTAGATGGAAAGAAGAAAAAAAACCCCAGAGACGCCTAGAGTTTGAAGGTTTCTCTACAAAGAGATCGATAGGCCTTTCTACCCCATGGGATAGTGTGGTTCTTCAGCGAGAAGTACAGAATCTTAGGCTCTTTCGCGGTATACCAAGCATTGTGCAGCTAGTTGCCGTCGTTATCTCAAGTAATCCATATTCGACACATCCTGTTGGATTACCATTCGGGCGGGGCATTGGAGGGGATACTGAAGAAGACACATAGAAGCAATCACCCATGGCGGAGGTGGGCGCTACAGATTGCTGAAGCCCTCAACCAGATACATCTCAGTAATAATAATACGCACATGGATTTGAAAACATTCAACGTGGTGATCGATAGCGAGGGGAATGCCATTCTAATTGATATAAGTGGTCGCCCATGAATGGCTGGCGCCAGAAATACAAGATATGTCGGATCCTCTCACTTCGCCACTTGAAATGCGCCAGAGAAATGATATCTGGGCTTACGGTCAACTACTATCGGCAATGGTGGGGCTTAATAACCACTATCGAGAGAAGAAGTTGATGAAAAGTGTTGCAGCGGCTGCGACAACAAAAGATCCTGAATCGCGACCGGGTCTACCTTGCATCATTTCAAAACTCAACGTACTCAACGGAGGCTAATTTGACACCGGAAAACAGATTTCCTCGACCGCCACGTTGGTTCGCACGAAACAGACAGGAAACAGTATATAATGTGAAGAGATCGCGACCGGCAACCTTAGTTCGAATGAGCGTCAGGTTGACGATAAACTCGTTATCAGTCAATATTCGCTCCAGGCAACATCCGTCTCATCGAACCCGCCGTCGCTCCAGCCACCTAGCGGAAGTTTTAGCTAGGGGGAAGTGTCCCTAATTATTATTAGCCGAGATGGGCTACCACCGACCTGGTCCTTCGCGCATAGGAGGAGCCTTGCCATCAACATCCTTGAAGACCACAGCCAGCCGCGCCGGTGGTGACAGCGTGGGCTGAGTTTCCTACAGTGCACACCTCTTCCTTTGCCCTAGCTTCGCCGCAAGGATTGCTTAGGGACTTGTGGTAAGTGACCGCAACGGTGCACTCTTTCGAGGAATTGACACTTGATATCTATTAGGAAATATTCAGGAGAGTATGTGCATGAGCAGTTTTCCTATATATAAAAAAGGACTTAATAACAAAAGGTCATCAAAGGGCGGGGTATTTTGAGGGACATGTTCAGATTAAGAGAGTTTGGGGTATGATGAACCACGGCGCTTAAATGTCCTGTCTCCATTTTCTTTCTCTTCCATTTTTTTTTTGAGTCACAGGGTCAGTTGGCAGAATTTCCGTTATCGACTTATATTTTCAGTAACATGCCGGCTGCGTGTGGACGGAGTTGCCTTGGCCCCAGGATTGTTTGATCGGAGCACGTTATGAAAAAAGATTTACCAAGGTTCGCACGCGCGTTGGATTCCTCTGGACCAATTAACGAACGGGATGGGCCGAAATGATCCTCGTTATAGCTGCGGAGACTGTTCCATCGCAGGACACCCTACACTCAGTTATCACCGTGACGAGGCTGGTGGTAGGGCGGTGCGAAGTATTTATGCGTAATACTCAAAGGGATAAAACAACTCGCTCCCAGCGAAGTTGCCCTTGTCTTGGCATTAACTACTGCCACTTCCCCGCCCCATCCCGTTTGGACCAAACGTCTTTTGTGGAACCAACTTGTGGACATCAGTTCAATGCTACAGAGTCCCTGGGATCGAAGAATCAAGAAACCATTAATAATTTCAAACGGAAACTAGCTAAATGAATTGCACAAAAAGTGGGTATAATGATTCACAGCACGGTTAATAATTCACAGCACGATTTTTAGCATCGATGTAGAACCATATTCATGTGCACGTCTTCAGTTCGGAAGTGTGGAGGCCTTATCGGTTGCTTAGCTGGCCGCATGACCGGCCGTACCAAGGGACTCGCTGGCACGGATCTTCGGCGTTTTGGGATTTCCTCGAGGCACTTCTTCTTCTTCAACTGGAGCCGCAAAGGTCCATTGGGCATTTTGATATTCATCACGCTCAGTTGACCCATCAGAATCATCCAGGATGGGTGTTAAATCGGAAGTCGTCCGGTGTTGGAATATAGATGAATGCGGAGACCGAGCCTCGGAGAACCTTGTATTCACCACTCTAGTAAGTTCATCCCTTGTTTCTAGTGCCCAATCTCGGCCATTTCGGTACGCTGAAGCTCCTTGTCAAAAGGCCTCAGAAGTATGAGTGAGTGCAAATGATCAGAGCTGTGTCATAAAATATTCAGGATGACTATCTGGATTGTCTGACTTGCTAACATGAGTGGTGTATAGCTTTAGTTGACCGCCATGATAAGTCGACGTAAGAGTGTAAGCATTGTTATCATAGGTCGGTTCACCTTGCTGGTAGGATTGTAGAGCATGCATCCCGCGGGCACCCAGTGCGCCATCATAACATGCCTGCCGTGTGGCTACAGCAAGAGATCCATCAGGGCCTTTTGCCTCGAAAACGAAGTTTGGTGCCATTGGGAGATCATCCGGGACAATATGATGGCTAAGATCTACACGGATTTGATGGTTCAGCTGCTCAGGACATGCACCATAGAAGTGATCTGGTTTAGCAGCAGCCAGTGTTCCATCAGTTAAAGAAGTAAGATTTCTAAATGAGTAGTCCCCTCCAACACATTTCGGGTCACTGATATCACCATCAAGAATTGGAATCACTGAGGTTGTGATGGACTTCTCTTTAGATGCATGTGTATCTGCGAGGGCCAGGGTTCAGCTAATCGTTCAATTATCTCCTTCATATTTTTTGGTGTTGAAGGGATTTGGCCATCAGGATATCCATATCCGTCCGGATAAACACCGTGGTCGATTAGATTTTGCTGAAAATTCCGACTGTAGGCCGAGGTGCTTGAAGTTTTCGAGATTGTCTTCGTGTCCCTGGAAGTTGATGACGGAGGAGAACCCGCACGACGCTTTCTACTGTGGGAGCTCCCATCGGAATCGGATACTAGGCTCATATTGTGGCGGACGTATTGCTTGTGAAAACAGAATTTTCCCGGCACCCCCTGACCTGAACATTACGCAGGTATGCCCCGGTGTTTTCGTTAGTGCCGCCCTAATATTTTAGTGGCATTCTAACGTTCATTCTGGGGTGCCGCGTCTCTAAATATCCTCATATAATATAAGAAGCAAGCTTCTCATTCATTATTCTTATTCCATACGTACGCGATCCCTATACTCATTATTATCAATCTCTGATTCAATATGGACTTATTTGCTATTGCACCTTCACCATCAGAACCTCCTGAACCTCCTGCTACTCCTTCAAAATAATTGACCTGTGATTAGACTGACCGTGTGACCGTGTCTGGGACCAGGACCAGATTTTTTGATAGTCTCATTACCAATTCAACTTATTATTATTATTATTATTATTATTATTCTTCCATTATACTCATATGCAAGCGGAGCTTATGATGAGTCCTTGCGTGATGTTAAATACAGGCCAAGTGTTGGTTATACAGGAGGAAATACAGGTGTTGAGACCACGCCAAGATAACAAGAACATAGGAAATACAAAGGAGTGACAATTAGATACATGCGATAATAACTTCCCAGCCCAGGAACATAGAGCGATTTATTGGAGCGATTTGTACACCTCTGTATTTATTAGGAACCTGAGGTGCTTGAGTTCCGGATTTAATGTATCCCCTGCGGGTTTCGAACCCACACGCCTTGGTTTCCCACGCCAAGGCGCTACCGGGTGGCCGCATTAACCATTCGGCCACCGGGGCTTACCAATTCAACTGATCCCATTACATGGTTTTAACATTAGATAGTAGTCTTATACTGTTCCAGTGAGACTTACTGTCTACTCTTGTCACATTTTTCAAATGAGATCATGATTTCCACTTCTCAATTTAAATTATTTTTATTACTTTAAATGACTTTAAATCTTATTTAAGTGTTATCAAAAAGTGTTACTTTTTAAAAAATTAAAAATAGTCTAAAAAAAACCTTAAAATGTCTAAAAATAGTAACTTTATGCTAAGAATGAGACTAAATGAGATCAAATAAAACCACTTTCTCATTTTTTTCAAGTCATGGTTTCATTTTAAGATCTGATATATAGTCACTTTATCTGTTTTTTTGATAGTCAGTCTCAGTGAGATTCATGCCAAGAAATGTATGAGATCAGATCAAATGAAATTAAACATGAAATTCATGATTCCGGCGGTCAGTCTATCTGTGATCAATGTCGAGATATTCTTCTTCTTCGCGGACTGAATTGAATCTATCAAAAGATCTCTGATTAGACTGACTGTGTGACCGTGTCTGAGACCAGAATCAGAATATTTGATGATTTCATTATCAATTTGATTGATCTCATTACACAGTTTTAAGATTAGATAGTAGTCTCATACTTATTATTATTATTATTATTCTTCAATTATAGATGTATGTAGTCAGAGACTATGACATCTACCTGAGAACTTTAGTTCTCAGGGTTTTTTCTATGTCTGTAAAGTTAACTATTGTACATTCATTAATTTCAGATATGCAAAATCAGAAAATTCCAGCTCAGAATATAAAAACTGTTTACAAATTACAGTGTTTTAACATCTTTTGATACTTTGAAATCATTTGATAATATCATGATAAAAGAAAAGAGAGAAAGAACACAGTCTTAAAGATAGACACATTAAATAGATAGATAGAAAGAAATTGAAAGAAAAAGATACAGAAAAAGATAAAGTAAAGAGAGACTATAACAAAACAAATTATTAAAAGAGAGTGTATAGCTGTTTTAACAGACTATATCTGATTGATTTCCTTCTCTTCATATTCAGATAATTCTGAATTTAGTCATTTTCTTATAACTGCTTGAGTTTCTGATAGAAAGTCTATTAAGTATTTAATTCCTGTCTCAGTTGAGAATAAGAATCTCATATTTAATTGATTTAGATCATACTTCTCTTTCAATCTGACTCTGAGACTATTGTATAATACACAGTGTATTATAATATACTCAGAATTCTCATTTGTATTATAGAATAAGCATTCTATTGAGTTAAATCTATCATCAAATCTTTGTATATAAGATTTGAAATAGTCATGTCCTAGTTTCAGCTGTATTATAGATGAGAATATTTTCTTTTTACATTTAATTGAACAAGATTTTCACTTGAGTTTTGTTTCAAATCTTGAATAATGTATACTCTTCTTTTATTTCTATCAGCTTTCATTTCACTTATTTAAACAAGATTCTTTTATTTTTCTCTTTATAAAAGATCAGAACACAATTTTTTGAATAGATCTGCTTAATTCTGCACTCTTTTTTACAGCTGAATCAGTCAATTCATTGTCATGAATATTTATATGAGCAGGAACTCAGTGCAGATGAATTCTCAGCTTTGATATTCTTTTCTTTTGAATTTTTAAAACAGAGTTTAAGATCAGTTTAAGATTCATTTGATCATTATAAATCTGACTATTTCTAAGTCTTTTTAAAGCAGCTTGACTATCAGAGAATATTTATATCTCTTTCAAATAATTTTCTCTTTTATGAGATTTTATTTCAATGAGTTTGAAAGCTTTCACTATTGTAAATAGTTCAGTATCAAAGACTTCACATTCAGAGTCTAGATTTCAGAAATCTGAGATAAAATTAATATTATCTTCAGTATAAGCAATGTCTGCATCTAATCTATTCAAGTTCTCATTTTTTGAGTCATCTGAATAAATCAGAATAGAGTCTTTTATATTGATTGTAGAAATTCTCTTCAAATGCTGTTCATATTCTTTCTCTTTTGATAGTTCACTTATTTGTAAGTCTATAAGAGATTCAAGCTTTTTTCTTCAGAGAGATAACTTCTCATGATCAACTTTTTCAACATTTAAAGAAGAAAATTGATTTTTAATCAGAGAGTATAGTCTGTACAGTTGAGAAGACATTTTCTTTGAAGAATTATTTTCATTTCAATCAAGAAATCTATTTCAATCCAGTTCATTTTCAGAGTTAATTGATGAAAATGAAGAAGAGACTCTTTCTCTGATTATATGATTTAAGCTCATCTTTACAACTCTCAGAGCATAGTTCATACAGGCCTTTTCAAATCTAATAGTAGAAGAAGAAATTGAAGCTTCAATTTTCATTGCTTTAATAGAAGATGATTTGAATGCTCTCAGAATTCTTCTCATGACTCTGTTTTACAGACTTTGAAAGAGTTCAGTGAAATTCTCTTGATTATTTCATCAAACTTGAACTTCATAATTAGACTGACCGTGTGACCGTGTCTGAGACCAGGACCAGATTTTTTAATAGTTCCATTACCAATTCGACTGATCCCATTACACGGTTTTAACATTAGATAGTAGTTTCATACTGTTTCAGTGAGACTTACTGTCTACTCTTGTCACATTTTTCAAATGAGACCATGATTTCCACTTCTCAATTTAAATTATTTTTATGACTTTAAATGACTTTAAATCTCATTTGAGTGTTACCAAAAAGCGTTACTTTTTAAAAAATTAAAAATAGTCTAAAAAAAACCTTAAAATGTCTAAAAATAGTAACTTTATGCCAAGAATGGAACTAAATGGGACCAAATGAAACCACTTTCTCATTTTTTTCAAGTCATGGTTCCATTTTAAGATCTGATATATAGTCACTTTACATGTTTTTTTGATAGCCAGTCCCAGCGGGATTCACGCCAAGAAATGTATGAGACCAGATCAAATGAGATCAAACATGAAATTCATGATCCCAGCGGTCAGTCTATTCATAATCAGCTACTGATGTAATACAGGTTATATATAACTGTCTCATAGTCTGGAAAGATAGACCTCTCTCTGTATTTGATAGTCTGATTATGTTATTTAATAGTCTTTCTGTCTTGACAGTTCTTTATTGAATATGATATTTAAAATTTAACTTAGAGTTTAATCATACTTCTAATCATTTGACATTTACACTGAGTTTAATCTCTCTATTTAAAAGAGTTAGAGATAGTTCTTTCTCATTGAATCTAGAAAAGAAATGAATTAACTCAGTTTTATTCATATTAAATTGAATTTAATTGATATCTGCTCTAACAAAGATTTTCTTTACAGCTTCTTCAATTACTCTCAAATTCTCTTTGATAGTTTTTGAGCTGTAGACTAGATCAATATCATTCATATAACTCAGAGATTACACTATTCTCATATTTCTATTTTTGAATAGATATACAGTATATATTGTAAATAAAATGAGTGAGATTGAAGATCTCTGTGATACTTCTATTTTTATCTCAGTCTTATCTTATTTCATTTCATCAAAGAAGAGTTGTATAATTCTTTTAGATATAAAACAGTTAACTCATTTTATTAGAGAAAGTGACAGTTTTAATAGCTTCAATATCTGAATTAACTTTGACTTTGAAACATGATCAAATGCTTCTTTTATATCAATAAAAACTGCAGTTGAGACCAGACTCTCATGCTTTGCTATTTGAATATCATAAACAACTGAGAGAACAGTGTCAATTACAGAACACTGTTTTCTATCTCTCATTTATTCACTAAATAAAAGAGAATTATCTATAGAGCTTATAAAAGATAGTTAAGTAGCTATTATCTTTTCTAAAACCTTTTCTAGGCAGTTCAATAGAGATAGTACTCTATATAACTTAGAAATTGAAGTTTTTCTATTAGGTTTTATAAGAATTACTTCAGTGACTTCTCTCCAGCATTCAGAATAATATTCATTTTTCAAGAGATTGAAAAAGAGCTCAAAATATTCATTCTTTAAGTAGAAATATGTATTTTGAATAATTAAGTGATTAATTGAATCAGGACCTGCAGCAGTTTTAACAGAACTTGAGAAGATAGCTGACTCTAATTCATCTTGTGTAAGATCAGGTAATTCTCAGTCATTTTCATCAATGTAGTTAAGAAGTGATATATTCTCTTTCTCTGAATTTGAATCTGAATCTGATGAGTTCTGAAAGAGAATTCTCATGAAAGCTTGATATTT